CAGCATAGTTAACCAACCCGACCTGACCCACTCACACAGTCACCATGCAGGGATGGCGATACATGGACATTCACCAAGATAAACATAAGTCAGGCCATAAAGCAAGCCTCGGCACATTTTAAATGACAGGAGTTATGCAGACCATGTTCTCTGATCACAGCACAGTTAAGTAGGAACCAATAAAAAGACAATACCTGCAAAACTCCCAACTATTTGAGAATTAATGAATATACTTTAAAGGAACCTAAAGGTCAAGGAAGAAATCACGGGAAACATTAGAGAATATTTTAAACTGAATTATAATGAAAAAAAAAAAAAACCCAAAATTTGTGGGATGCATCTATAGCAGGGCCTTGAGGGAAATTTGTAGCTTCGAATGCTTATATTACAAAAGAAGGTATGTTCAAAATCATTGACCTATGCGTCCATCTGTATATGTTGGAAAAAAATCAGTGGAAATTAAAACCAAAGTAAATAGAAGGAATGAAATAATAAATCAATAAAAATCTGTGCAATAAGAAACCCCTATCATAGCAAATCAATAAAACAACTGTTGTTTGATAGTCTGCCAGAGAAAGGGAGAGGTAAAGACTCCAACAACCAGCATCAGGGCCAAGGGAGCCATCACTACAGACCTCACAGCACTCGCAAGGCAGAGAATTTTGTCAGCAGGTTCAACAACTTAGGTGACATGACCAAGTTTCTTGAAAAACAGGTCATCAAGACTGGCACAAGAACAAAGAGAAAATCCAAATAGCACTGTATCTATTGAAGAAATAGAATTCTTAAAAAAAAAAAACCAAAAAACCAAAACCCTCACTTTTCTGCAAAGAAAACTCCAGACCCTGATGATGTCATGTTGAGGTTAGTGAAACATCATGTTGAAAGAAAGAAATAGTACCAGCCTGGCCCAGTCGTTTAGAAAACCGAGGAAGAGAGGACAGTGCTCATCTTGTTTTATACGGCCAGTGTTATCCTAATACCAATATCAAACACATTTCAAGAAAAAATAAAATTGCAAATTAATATTCCTTGTAGACAAAAGTGCATGAATTTTTTTGCTAAACATTAATAAATCAAATCCAGGTGTGTATGTAATAGATCGTATCATAATCAAGTGGGGTTTGTTTTAGGAATGCAAAGTTGGTTTAATGTTTGAAAACCAGTGTAATTTACCCCTTTAACAGAATACAGGAGAAAAATCATACATTCTTTTCGGAAGGTGGAGAAAAGCATTCGACACTATCCCACACGTGTTAATAATGGGCCTCTTAGCAGTGCAGAAACAGCCCCACAGAGGTTGTTCCACAGCTACATCAGGCCTGGTGGTGACCTTCTTGGGCTCTGACCACATCTACTCAGTGCCAGTCCAAGCATGTGCATGAGCTGAGAAAGAGCCATCAGACACACACGGATGGTGAAGAAGTGTGCGACCCTGAAGGCACCGTCGGGTGGTCGGAGGCGGGGCAGTGCACAGGTGGGGCACAGAGCACGTGCTGATACTTCAGTGCACACGTCTCATCCGCTCGTCAAAATCTCTGGATGTCACACCAGTGCAGCCCCCGAAGAAAGACAGCAGGAAAAAGCCAAAAAAAACCCCAGTTAGACCAAACAAGATTAATCCAAACAGGCCCAAAGGTGAGTTCAGCTGAAAAAAACCATCAGCTCAGAAAAAGACAGGTTTAACTAAAAACAATAAAAAGAAGGAGAAGTGGCCGCGGCTGCTCCAGTGAAGGAGCCCGGGAGCCGTACCAGGGGGCCGTATGAGGCCCCCGTGTCCTTTGGGACCGCAGCGGTCAGCCCAAACCCCCGTGCGGTCTGGGCGATAGTGTCCCCATTGCAGGTTCGTCGACTGTACCAAACGTGTGGCTCCCGTGGGGGACACTCGTAGAGTTCCACGCCAAACCTCTGACTTCTGTTCAATTTTGTCATGAACTAAAACTGCCTGAAAAATAAAGTCTTTTAAAGAATATTTTAAATATTTTATTTAAATATAATATTTAATTTAAATATAATGTTTTTATAATAAATATAATATCTATTTAAATATAATATTTTAAAAAGCTCTGTGACCCGCGGTCTGCAGCAATCAGCCAGCCAGCCAAACAGGAACTCGGCCGCTAAAGGCCTCAAGTGGCCAGGACTGGACCATTCACGTCCTGTGTTTTGTTTCTGCTTCTACCTCAGAACTAAATAGAAGAAGCCCAGATGCTGCTGTCCAGCCCACAGGATGTCCCCATGGACCCCAGGGGCCAGGGCTCCCCGGGGGCCTCCTGTGTCCGGCTCCCCATGCCCTGGCCTGTCCAAGGTGCTGCAGCGCTCTCCAAGTGAGCTGGTGAGTGGCCTCCGCGTGTCCCCACCCGAGGCCTTCCTTCATCTGCTGCTCACCGTAGGATGGACACTCGGGGTCTTTCCAGCTGGGGGCTCTACGCATTGCCCGCGGCACATAGGTCTCTGCATTTTAAAGGCGGGATCCTGCTCCGGCCTGCCTTTCTGGCTTCCTGGACCCTCCCAGTGTCCCTGGGGGCTCAGGAATCCAGCGGCCACAAGGCCCACTCTGGGCAGAGGAGGAGCCAATGCCTTCCCTGGGTCTTCAGGGCCCCATGGCACGGCCTCAGGCCACCACTGAAAGTCGTCACCACAGAGTCCCAGCCTCTAACGCCCTGAGCTGGAGGGCGAGCTCCATCCAGCTTCCCTTTCCTGAATTGGTCACGTCGTCGTGTGGGGACGTGGCCTGGTATGTGGGCAGGGGCCACCCCACCTGCAGTGCCGCCCGGGACCCGGTGCCCCTGGAGCATCCGTGCCGAGGGGGCTCTCCCCGTCCTCTCAGCGCTAGGAAGCCGCCCTGGCCCCGCCTTCGCCCTCCTCTGGGTCCGGGGACACCTGCTGCCCTGGGAGGTAAGGTGACCGTTCCCTCTGGATCTTCCTGGCGACCCGCTTGGCTCCGGGAGGCCGAGGGGAAAGAGACGCACTTCTCTTCCCAGAAAACAGATTCTTCATTGACACTCTTTATCCTTCCTGTCCATTCCTTTCCCCCTGTTCCCCAAACGGGGCCTTCCCTCAGTCCTTTGTGTGAGGAGCGGCCGTGGGGAGACAGAGTCCTCTTGTCAGCAATGTCCTGTCCACCGCTGTTCTGCCTTCCTGCGGGTCCCAACCATGGGGCCATTATCAGACGCTCCCCTCCAGGGCTAACAGGCAGCTCGTTGCCAGGCTGAACACGAGGGGAGAGTGTCACTTGCCGGAGCCCCAGTGTGGCGAGCTCCCGGAGGGGCCCCTGTGGGGGCTGTCGGGCGCTGTCATTCCATCTCTGTGAATGACTTTTGGGAGCCCAGCCATCTGCTGGTTTGAGATTCACACCATTTATCCTCCGAGAACGGAAGCCTCTTTTCCAAAGAGGGGCTGGTCCAGCCGCCTCGCTCTGGGCCAACCCACATCTGACCGCCAGGGCTCCAGGCCACACCAGGCTCGGCCAGTCACGTCAGGAAGGTGGACAGCCTAGAATGCTAGGACTCTCCCCGAGCACTGCGCTGGGGAAATGAACTTGGGTGACGGTCCGGGAGGCAGAACGGCTCGGTGCCCGGTTGGGTCTGGGGATCTTGCACCGAGATCGATTCCCACCCCTTCCTTTTGTCAGTTGCTGGGGCTCACTGGTCAGGGGACTCCAGGTCCCTCAGTTCTGGTGACTGTCACCAGCACATGTTCTGGCCCCTCAGTGGACGCTGGAGGCCCTAGTGTTTCCAGAATCCATGCTGAGAGATGGCTCTCAGCAAACATCCCTCCGCTGGTCCGCCCGTCTGATGTCCCTGGGTGCTGAGGGCTGTGTCAGTGGTGCTATGGGCAGCAGTGGACAGAGGCAAAGGGGTCCTTGCATATCCCGGGGTCTGGACATCCCCAGCACTTCCAGAGCTGCTGGAGGAGGAGAGCCAAACCACCACCTGCAGCCGCAAGGCCCTGGACACCCCCGAGGGCCCACCTTGGGTGGGTGGGGGAGGTTCTGTGGGACAGGAGCCTCACTGGGCGAGGGCCTCAGGAGGGAAGCTGTGATGCCCATCCCCCCCACCCCCCACCCCCCCAGCTAGGTCTGGTGGAAGGGCAGAGGCCATGAGACTTGGAGGCTGGTGTGAGTCCTGGGAATTTGGGAGCTGCCACTTGGAGGTGCAAATGGTGGAGGGAGGGTGGCAGGTGCAGGTGGGGAGCCAGGCAGAGGGCTTGGAGGAGGCCCAGGCCAGGCTGCACCTGCAGGTGAGAAGCTCCCTGTGGGAGTCGGGTCTGGTGGCCAGGCGATGGCTGAGGAAGGGCAGGCGTCAGAACCCCAAGGCTAGGCCTAGGCCACTAAGAACGGGGTCTCTCCAGGAGATGAGGCACCAGAGGGCCAGCCCTCAGCCTCGCCTACATAGCACCGTCGTCTCGTGGCCGTCTGCCACCCAAACCCTGGCCAGGCCCACCTTGGAGCAGGTGGAGGGGTAGGAAGAAGGAGCTTTGCCCAGAGGCTGGGGTCTGTGGAGCAGCTGGCAGGGAGGAGCAGAGGAGAAATGCAGTGACCAGGGCAGGGGTGGACGTCCAGAAGCAAAGCTCGGCTGCCGGGAACATGAGCCGACCTGGGAGCCGGCGGGAAGTTGAGGTGGGGAGGGCCCTGGGAGGGCTCTGGTTCACGGGAGACCCACCTTGGTATAGCAGGGCTCTGAAGGGCTGGGCCCTGGCCTTTTGAGGTGTATGCATCACAGTCCTCTTGGTTAGAGCAGAATCGGGTTGGGCCTGAAGGAAGGTGGACATCAGGAAGGGGTCCCCAGAGGAGGGGCAGCCTGCACAAGGCCAGAAAGGCCCCTGGGGGAGGCTGGATCTGCTCCTTCACAGCTCATCTCTGTTCACCTGTCTGGCACAGGGAAGGTGGCTTTGGGGACCAGATTCCTCTGTCATGGCTGGGGACCTCGGCTTGGGCCAAGCCCCACCCTCCCCAGAGGTCTGGGTTCCTCCCCCAGTGAAGCTCCAGGCAGCGAGGCTTAGAAAACCACACAGATTTATTGCATATCAATCTCATGTATAAATTCATTGTGGCATTGGAAAGATTACATTTGGTATACAGTCCTATTCTACAGCATTAACCTCAAAATCAGCTTCTGCTAGGCTTTACCTTAAAGAAATCTCTCTACACAAGTACATCTGTCTTCATCACGAGCATCAAAATGAAATCTGCAAGATGGCTCTGGATTCTCTACTACGCCCCATGTCTTCTCATTTCACCGCCCTCCTGCAGCGACTTCCGGGTCAGGGAGGGCCTGCCCTCTGCGTGGGTGGCTTAGGGCTCCCAGTCTGGACGTGGACCCTACTCACATATCCATAAGTGCATCTACGGAATTTTCCTCGTAATAAAATTTCACAAACAGACACGATAATGACCGCTAAACACGAGTCATGCACAGTTTGCTTATAAACAGCAGAAGCGATTTACAACCACGGAGCTGTGCGGCGAGCAAAAACAAAACGATATATGAAAACCAGACATTTACATTTGATTTCTTTTTCAACACTATACAGTTCTAAAAGGAACAAAACAAAACAAAACAAAAAAACCCCAAAACAGAACTCAACCCAATCTGCCATGTAACAATGGCGTGGACGCACAGGTCTGTGGTCCTCGTGCGGCCGGGGCAATGCATATGCAGAAATGCAGACAGACCCTCAGTTACAAAGTATACCTATATACACGCTTTAAATTACAGATTCTGACTCCAGGGCTCCGCTTCCCTTGCGCTGAACAAGCGGCGAGACCGGAGGCGCTGAAGGACATCTCTAGAGTTACCTTGTTCACAGGTGAATTGCGCATTTGGAAACTCAAGCTGCCTGTGGGTATTGGGATTTCTTTTTTTTTTTGCCAAAAGTGGTAACTGTGAATCCGTGACAGAAAAGAATGAATAAACAAACAAATGAAAAATGGAATGAAAGAGAAAGGGACTCTTCTCGGAATGACGCAAGACGTCTTCGTCACAGTATCACTCAATGCGGCGGACAGTTCCACGGCTCTGGACACCCGGCTGGCCTCCACTGACCAGGAACGGTGTCCGGTGTTCCCAGCCGGGAGGGAGCGCCGCCCCGGCTCCCCGACCCCCGTCCCCATCCTGCGGCAGTATGGGGCAAGCCCTCCTCTCCCCTCCCTGGAAGAGCTCAGTAGGTTTCAGTCACTCAGGCAAGGGACGAGGATGGGGACAGGGACCACAATCCAGTGCTAAAACACGTGATATGTATCAGGGAGGGTGTTTGCAAATGCTCGCTGGGGAAGGAGCAGAAGCAGAGGGGCCAAGGGCCCTCCGGTCTCCAGGGCTGGACTCTGGGTCACGGGGGTCTGGGTCCAGCAGGGTCTGGAAAGGCCAGCTGCACTCTTGGCCTTGGGAAGGAGGGCCCCTCGGGCTGGGCAGTCTCTCAGGCCACTCTGTGCTTACCCCATCCACTAGTCCACCTCCCTGGGTTTGCTCAGGGACATCACGGGGCTCGCTCATGCAGAATCTGCCTGTTCAGTAGGATGGGCAGCCCCACATGTCCTCCCTGAGCATCCTGGGATGGGGGCAGCAACAGGACACAGGTGGGGCCTCACCAGGGACAGGGTCCCCAGGACGTAGAGGGAAGGTGCAGGGGCCTCCTCTGAATTTCTGTTGGGGGACGAGGGCCAACAATCCAAAGGAGTTATCCTCAAGGCCACACGCTGGGCAGACTGGCCTCAACCTGAGCCACCTTCCGCAAGCCAGCCGCCTCGACCCTTCTTTGCCCTTGCCGCATAGCCACACGGCCCCCTGTTTGGGCTTGGTGCTCTGGGGGCCAGGGTCTTGGCTTGGCCCCCCGACCCCCAGTTGGTCTCCTAGTGTGGAGGACACTGGGCCTGAGTGACCAGACACCTGTGGGCTGCCACTGCCACCTGGGCACAGGAAAGCCAGGAGCCTGGAGCTGGCTGGGTCTGGGGCAGTACCAAGCACTGACGCAACTTAGGGATCGCTCTCTTCGTCAGGGGGTCTGAGGGCAGAGCACCCCAAAATGCCGAGTGCTGGGCCCAGGGGGCTGAGTGTTCAAGAGAAGCTGGGCCTGCTATCCTTTCGGGGACAAAAATACATGACAAATGTGCAGCCAGGGCTCTTTGGAGAGAGGGAAGAAGAGAAGGAAGAGAAGAGAAAATGCGCGGGAAGATGCGCCCCCGATGACAGAACTGGGCAGGGCACCCCAGGGTGACGAGGGGGGCCTGTCTGTCCTGCAGCTGCCAAGACACACCTCGGCCTCCTCCATCCGGACTTCCCGCTGGGAGAGAGCAGCACATCGCAAAGAAAAGCACACACCTTATTCTTTCGCAGAAGAAATCATATAATTTGGGTTTACAGAAGTGGGGGGTTTGTATCTGAGGTTGGATTTTTGTGAGGGTCCCACCCTAGTTCAAGGAGGAAGTGGAAATTCCTGGGCCGGACCTGGCGGGTCTGTGAGGAGCCGTCCTGGGCTGGTGTGTTTGCGAGTCCCTGCGGGTCGGCCAGCGGCTCAGGCTCCCCGGCTCCCCCGAGGGCGTCTTTCCAGCCTGCGCACAGGTGCGCAAGGCCAGTCCAGGGGCAGGCTGGCTCTCTGTTTTAGCAAGGGGAGAAGCCCTTTCACTGTGACCTGCAGGTCCCTGGTGTCTGCAGGGGCCTCCGGGGTGTGTCTCCAGAGCTCACCTGGCCACCTGGCCACCTGGCATCAAGGGGCGGTCATCTTTGGCCTCGAGCCACTGGGACACTCATGGAACACGCCGGCTTCAATACTGCCTATTGCCCCCGGGGAACACCACGGGGAGGTCCCCGCAGGGCACAGAGCTACACTGTGTCAGGCCCTGTGCCCTGGTTCTGTGCGTTCTTGCTCCTCTTTGTTTAAAGGGAAACTGGGGCAATTTTTTTTTCCTCTTCTTGTTTTTTTCTTCCAAACAATAAAAGAAATAAATAGAACACTTGTCTTAAATGCAGCTGAAACTCAGATTTAACAAAACACATGATTGTCTGGTAAATGGGTAGCAGTGACAGCAGGATTCGTGAGGGGGGGACGCGGGGGTATTTGGCACATTAAAAACCGCCCCACTCCCTGGTTAGTGATCACACGACACGCAGCCTTATTACACGGTTTTGGTCCTTCACTAGATACTTATATTAACATTATTTCTTCACAATAAGAATGTCTAATGCCAAAAATACTGTTAAGGAAGAAATAAAATAAGAAAAAAAAAAGAATCAGAAAAAATTACAAGTTATATACAGATTAAGGTAAATTCCATCAGGAAAAAAATTACTTGAAATTGGCCCCTACGGGAATAATTTAAAGCCGGTCCGAATGGAGAGGTGGACACATCCCCAGGGAGGGAGAGTGGCCCATCCTGGGGACTGTGCTCTCTGCTCTTTGCAGCAGGTCCCCAACCCCTTCTGCTCCCGACCCTGTCTTGTCAAGAACCTGCGCCAAGAGCAGAAGCGGCGGCCGGGTGGTCGGTGCGGAGCCTCAGGCACGGGCAGCGCTGGGCGTCCTGAAGTGGTGCAGCTGGGAAGGGCACCCCACCTGGCGGCCTCGGCCTCGGGCAGGACACTCCAGCTGCTGGGGGTCAGGTGAGAGCAGGAGGTTGGGGACCCAGAATGTCCCAACAAACCCTGCCTTGAGAAGAGCGGCTGGGCCAGCCTGGGTGGTGGAGGCACAGCTTGCGGGGAGGATCATCAGGTGCTCTGCCACACCTCTGCACGCAGGACCTGAGCCACGGGCTCCCGACATCCCCATACAATTGGGGGGTCATGGGTGGGGCCCTGTGGATTTCTTTGCAGGCCACAAGCGGGCACGCAACCTCCCAGTCCCGGCTCCAGCAAGCCTGCAGCCAGGCACTAAGTCTAGGAATTCCTCAGCAGGGTCTGCGCACGTTCAAAGGAGAGTCCCCGGGCCTCTTTTCTGTCTTGGGGGGCACCCAGAATCACCTTGGCTTGTACAAATAGGATCAACGATAGAAAATTCTCCATTATCTACAGTATAAAGGGTACACCCCAAGCACAGCGCTGGCTGCCCAGGCAGGTTTGGGTTGGCAAATAAGCTGAAATTCCAAAGCAATGCAAAATTACTTTTAAAAAACAATTTGCAAGTCATTTTGTTTGATTTTTTAAAAAATACTGTCTATTTTTTTTTTTTTAAACCCACATGCTTAAATAGACTCTGTAGTCAATAAGATTACCAAAAGGGTCATTCTGGTCATTTTCATTATAAAAACTGCGCCTGTGTCTCCTCCGGGCACACCTGCGTCCTCTGTGCACTCTCTGGTGCCACACAGGCTCCCAGAAGCAGCCCGGGGCTCCCATCCGGGCTTGAGATCCCACCCTCACCCGCCATGCTCTTCTTCAAGGCTGCTCCGCTCCGAGAGCCGCCTGAGCGTCGCTGGTGCTCGCCGAGACTGAAGGCTATTCCCAGGGCCGGTTCTCAGAGGCAGGGAGGTGCCATGGCTGCTTTGGGGACTGTTGGGTTCCAAGTTTTCCCTGGAGAAGTCAGAATTGAACTTGGAGGGTGGTGGCTGGGTGCCGAGCAGTGCTCCAGTGCAGGTGGCAGGGGCTTCCGGGGGCCCGCCGCCATTCCCTGCAGCTGGCACCCCGACTTTGGACTCTGGCCCTGGGGCCTCCTGGCCCCTCAGAGGTGGTTGATGGGGTTAAAGGCTCCAGACTCCGACGTGGCTCCTGCGATGTTCAACCAAGCGTCCAGCGAGCTCTGGGAGGGGGCGTGGAGAGGAGCATCCTCGGAAAGGGACAGCATCATTGCATATGCCTGGCAGGGGGACAACACAGGACCGGTGAGCAGTGTCACAGACAGGAAGGGCTGAACCTTGTCCCCAACCTCCGCTGGCCCCTGGCCACCTTGGCCTGGCCCTGTCAGATGGGGAGAGGTGGGCAAAGGTGCCTGGGGTCAGGCTCTTCCCCTGGCCTGGAAGACAGAGGCGTGTGAGGGGTCAGAACAGGGCAGGGGGTGTTTGTCCAGAGTGGCACCAAGACACCGTGGCCTGGCCTGGGGCCTCTAGTGCACACAGAACCCCGTGGCCTCCTGGGGGTGCTCCCTGCACTCGCCTTTCATCCCCCCACTTTGATCTTCCTGGTGACAGGTGTCTGTGCTGGGAGGGCCCTGGGACCTGGTGGGAGGTACTGCTAAGACCCCCCCACTCACAGGGTCCTCCCTGCCTGGAGGGGCAGGGGCCTGGGGACACCTGCCTTGGCAGCTGTGGTGTCGTCACAGAGCTACTTCTAGAAACAAAATGGGCAGCATTTCTGAGCTGATGAGTTCTTAGGGAGTGGGAATGTGTTTTTCCTGGCCTTAGTCAGCAACAGGACAGGACATCCTTCTGCCCAGGCCTCAGGGCAGGAGGTGACCAGGCCTGGGACACTCGGAGTATTCTGTGTGTTCATGGGTGGGGTGATGGGGAAGCACGTGCCGGTCCCCCCAAGCAAACATTCTGGACAGCATTAGTAGAAGACGAAGACAGACATGCAGACAGCTTTTGCTGAGACTCTGGGGCTGGGCCACGCCCTGCAGCAGAGAGAGTGGAGGGACCTGAGCCTCTAGCTGCAGAGGCACAGGGGGCAGGGTCCTGTGGCCACGGCCCTAGGCATGGAGATGAGATGTGCCAGGCTGAGGCCGGTGCCCTTCCTCACCCCATGCTGCTCTAGCTGGGGGGTGGTGACCGCTTGACAGGTTAGAGATTGGGAGACCCAAGCAGCTGTTCGTGGGCATCACCCACTCGGGATGGGACGAAAGTGACCCTTGCTCCTGCGTCTGAGACCCAGCTGCCCACTCTCTGTCCTCAACCCCTTCCTGCTTCACCTTGGCTGTGGGCCCCTGGAGGTCACTGGGGCTTCACTTTAGCTCAGTTCAGTGGGCACGCTGAGGAGGGGTCCTGAGCTTCCCTTGGGCAAGGGATGGCCACAGTGGGAGGGGAGGACTGGGGTCGTCCCTCCGACAAGAGGTGCGGTGGCCCGGAGCCAGGTGGAGACGGAAGGGAGGGCAGGGCTCTGATGGTACCTACCTGGTTCTTAGCCTGCCTGTACAGGGTCTGTTTTAAAGCCTCAGAGTCTAAGGTGGAATTAAGCACATCTTTAACTTCAAATGCTTCCTCAGCTGCTCTGTGGAGATCCAGCCCCTTCCCAAAGGCCGGCGTCGGCTCCAAAGCTGACAGGCCGCCCTCTGGCTCCTCATGACACCTGCACCAAGGACCAGGGGGCCGGGGTTAGCGGGCCTGGCCGCCGGCCGCCCGTCTGATGCTGCATGGCTGGCTGTGCGCCTGCATGCATGCCATGGGTCTCCACAAGCCACATGCACAAGGAGACAGACACATGGACACAGGACACCTAGACGGAAGCCACGGACGCAGGAGAGCAGATGGACAGAGGGCCCCACGGGGCCGAGTGGGTCACACACACGACTGACAGCAGGTGTGGTCTCTGGTCTAGAGATGGAGGGCTGGGAAGGAGGCCTTCATTTCGAGAGACTCCAGGCAGCTTTGGAGAGGCCCAGGCTGCCCTCCCTGGACCCAGCACTGCCCAGGAAATGCCATCTCCAGAGGGCCTCCCCTGGGGGTCTTGGAATGCTGGCCATGTCACCCCAGTGCCAAGGGAAGTGGTTCTAGTCGGTAGGACTTCCAAAGCTGTGGGTGCTCAGGCCCTGTACCTACTGCCCCTCTTCAGGCCGGACAGCACTGCTGGGGTGGACGCAGCAGTGAGTAGCCTCATGGCAGTGCCTGGACCCTGAGCAGGAGACGCTCGATGGCCAGCTCTCCCAAGAAGGGAAGGTGCTGGAGAAGCTGTCCCCAGAGCTGCCGGGTGGGATGGGCAGAGTCTCCAGAGGTCAGGGGCTCAGGGACACACCCAGAGCTGCCTTGCTGGCTGGTTGGCCAGGAGCCTCCGTGCACATGTTGGTCATCCAGCGGGAGGCTCTGGCGCCAAGGAGATTGGGTCCTGCTGCCTGCCCTGGCTCTCTGTGGGGTGACCTTGGCAGGGGTTTGGCCTTTGGCCCTCACAGTCCACTCTGCAGACAGGATGAATGGCAGGTGGACCGCAGGCTGACGCCTCCTGTCCGACAGAGGACGCCTTCCCTCCTGCCCTCTCCTTCCAGCCTCTCGGAGGCTCCAGACCCCCTGGCCGTCCTACAGGGGCTTGCAGAAGCCACACCTGCTGGGCAGGGAGGAGCCCTGGATGGAGGTGCCTCCTGGCAGAGGAGGACGTCCTGAAGAGGACGGTCACCTGGAGATCCCCAGTCCCTCCCTGGCTATCCCCCCCGCCCACAGCCGCCCCCACCTTCGGGTGTGGTCAAAGCCCACGGCCAGGGAGGCGGGTGGCTCCTCGTCCTCCTCATCCTCGTAGACTCCCTGGGGCTCGGGCGTGGGGGACACCGTGTCGTCCTGCGACTTCCCGGCCAGGCTGTCCTCGTCCTCCTCTTCCAGCTCCTCCTCTTCCTCCTCCTCCACATCCTCTGGCTTCTCGCTGGCTAAGCCTGGACACTGGGGGCTGCTGCCCAGCTCCTGGATCTCTGGCCTGAAGGACAGGGGGAAGCCGGCTGTGCTCAGGGGCCCTGCCTCGCCCGCCCCCAAGGCCAGCAGCTGCTCTCTCTTTCCCTGCTGCCTCCCTGTGGCCTCCCAGCTCTCCCCAGGAGACCTGGCATTTATGTCAGAATCCTTAAGCTCTGGGTCCTGGGCACCTGGTGGCCTCCCTGGACCCAGCCGTGCTCCCTGCCATGGACGGAGAGCGATGCGGGTGGGGGAAGGTCGCAGGAGAGGAGAGGGTCGTGGGGGGGACGCAGGGACAGAAACAGGTCCCCCGGCAGTGGACACCAGGCCATTCAGGGGTTCCTGGTGAGTGCGTGTGGCAGGGAAAAGGCTGCGGCTGGGCCTGGAGAAGTAGTCCTGTGCTTGTGACAGGGTTGGGCACTGCCCAAGGGTGCCTGCACGCCCTGTCCAGGGCCCGTGGTGCCCATCTGCACATGTTCCCCAGCCAGGCACAGGGACTCAGGACCACGAGGGGGCTCCCGAGGGACATGTGGGACACTGGGCTCAAGCTGCCTGCTGTCAGCTGTCTACAGCAGCCAGGCCAAGCTTGGTTCAGAGACCCCGGGACTCCTGTGGCTCGGATCCCGCCTCACAGCCTCAGGTCACTGTGTCCTGGGCACGAGGCTTACTCTGGCTCCTCCTTACTAAAGAAAAAAGAGAAAAGCCAGCGAGGGGGGAGAGCTCTCAGGCCCGCAGAGAGTCCCGCCCGGGTGCACTCCATCTTCATGCCTAAGGCCACCAGGGCCCGGGGCTGCAGCCACCGTCGGGCGCTCCTGCTGGCAGAGGGCCTCAGTGAGGGGCAAAGGTGTCCTCCACTGCGGCTTCCAGAGCAGCAGTCCCCCACTCTCGTCCTGCTGGGCCCGGGGGGACTGTCGGCAGCAGCACTGGGGCAGCACACGCGGTCTCAGGTGGACCCAGGGGTCGGTTCTTGGCATTGAAGGTGGCGTCTCCACAGCGCCTGGCTGGGCGGGAGACGCTCGATGGCCAGCTCTCCCAAGACGGGAAGGTGCTGGAGAAGCTGTCCCCAGAGCTGCCGGGTGGGATGGGCAGAGTCTCCAGAGGTCAGGGGCTCAGGGACACACCCAGAGCTGCCTTGCTGGCTGGTTGGCCAGGAGCCTCCGTGCACATGTTGGTCATCCAGCGGGAGGCTCGGGCGCCAGGGAGATTGGGTCCTGCTGCCTGCCCTGGCTCTCTGTGGGGTGACCTTGGCAGGGGTTTGGCCTTTGGCCCTCACAGTCCACTCTGCAGACAGGATGAATGGCAGGTGGACCGCAGGCTGACGCCTCCTCAGGTGCAGCGGGCAGCCAGGTGCAGACGTCCCAGGCGGGTCCCACGTAGGTCTGTGTGGAATCCCTGCTCTCTGGGGAGCAGGATCTACCCTCTTTCTTTCCTGCCTGCTCACCCTGCACAGAACACATGCCATGGGTGTGAGTGGGTCCAGCAGGGTCCACTCAGGTCTGGCAGGCTGCTCTCGGCTTCAGACAGGAGGACGGCCACTCCGGTTGGCGACATGCTGGTGGCCTGTGCGCTGACAGCTCCGCAAGCTGACGCTCCCGAGTCGGTGAGGTGTGGCTCAAGGTCCTTCTGAATTTGAGGGGAAACTGCCTCCCGGCTCCTGGCGTCTCTGTCCTCCGTCCCCACAGGGCTCTCCTTGTGTGTTCACACTGCCCCTTTTGTAAGGGTCCAGAGGCCACCTCACTCCAGCAGTCCTCACGGTCACTCCCCCTCCCCCGTGGAGACCCTGTCCCACACTGTCATGCCCAGGTGCGCTGGGGTGAGGGTTCCACGGGGGAACTGTGGGAACACAGTCCCACCCAGGGGCTGAGGGGTTGCTGGGCCAGGAAGCCTGGCAGGCCTTGGCCTCACCTACTGACCGAAGCCAGGTGGTGTTAGCTGCTTCTAGCCCCAAGTGGGACTGCCAGCGTCCCCACCAGGCGGGCTGACTAAAGTCAACCGTGCCCCGCTATCATGGGTGACAGTGACAGGGAACAGTGAAGGGCAAAGCCAGCTGGGCCCTGGGCCTCGCTGCAGCAGGACAGGCTGTCCGGGGCCTGGGTGAGGCCCGACCTTGGGCTTTGTGGGGTGTGGGACCAGGTGTGCCGGGGTTGGGCTTGGGGCTGCTCACCCTCTGGCTGTGGGTAGGGGCAGTGGGGAGGCTGCTGGAGTGCCCCATGGCAAGGCCAGGGTTGGGACGGCAGGGCTCCTGTCCTCATCCGCGAGCTGGGACACTTGTCCTTCCAGAGATGCCCCTGTCCTCATGGCTCAGTGGAGTGCCTGGCCTGCCACTGTGGTGCATGGGGGTCTTGCTGTCCTCAGACTGCCCCAGGACCTTGGCACTGGTCCTGGGTCACCCAGTGAGGACGCCAAGGGCGAGTTCTCATTCCTTCTTTGTCTGGCTCTGCCCAGGGCCTCAGAGGGCCAGGTGGGGTGGTCTTTGGCAGTGAGGAGGTGTTCTCAGAGTGGCAGGACGAGGGCCCTTCAGGTCACTGTGACTGCAGCCAAGGATGGGGAGCTAGGACTTGGGCTGCACCTGGGCCCCGGACGAGGGTAAGAGGGCCCTACAGGTGAGCTCTCCTTGCCAGGGGCAGAAGCACAGGCTAAGTTCTCTGTCACTGATTGCTCAAAGGGACTTCCCCAAGGTCCCCAGGAGCACCAAGGGCAGGAGGATGCAGCCCTGTCCTGGAAGAGCAGCCAGGCCTGGGGCAGCCGGGTCTCCAGGGACCTTCCTCACACCCGAGCTGCAGCCACCAGGGCCACTGGGATGAGGGCCGGGGCTTGGCTGCAGGCTCTGGGCTGGCTGCCGGGCTGGGCCAGGCACCCCTGTGTGGAACCCGGGGGGGGGGGGTCCCTGCCTGAGCCCTTCTGGGGTCTGCAGCACCTGGCTGTCCTGCAGATGTTCTGCATCCTGTCTCCTGGGCTCTGAGCTGCCCTCTGGAAGGAGGGCCCTGGGCAGGCCACACACAGAGCCCTGGGCGCGAGGTTGCACAGAACACCCAAGTCCTGAAGCCGAGTCCTGCCACTGTTCTGCCGTTCTGTGTATGCACGTGTAGAGCATTGTACACACGCACATGCCCACACATGCACACACTACGCATGTGCACCCACACATGCCCCCCACATACGTGGTACGTGCATGCTCACATATGCATAAGCACATGTGTGTGCATGTGTGTGCCCTGTATGCATGCACATGTGTACACGTGTGTCACATGCCTGCTTGTGTGTACGGTCTCTGACTTAGTGGTTCCACTCAGGATTTCTTAACTTTACAGTGGAATGAAAGTGATTTGTATTTGCTGGAAACCTTACTTTGCGTTTTGGACTTCGGACAGGAGGACATGTCTTAACGCTGGGCAGTGGCAGTGAGTCACAGCCTCCATTAGCCCTGTGGTCAGGAGGGACAGCCAGGCCTGCACAGTGCGGGATGTAGGGATGACATTTGACATTAGCACCCGCCTGAGGCTGAGGTGCGTGTTCTGCGCACACCTCAGCAGGTGTGGCCACGCTGGAGTTCAGAGGTCAGGCTGCGGACTGCAGCTTCTGCTTACAACATGTCCAACTTGGGATGTTTTGTGAGGACATGGCCCCACTGTAAGTTGAAGTGTGCCTGTGTAGGTGTGTGTGTGTGTGTGTGTGTGTGTACAAGCATGTTTAAAGGGGCAGCAGTCTTGCTGGGAACCATTAGTGAGTGCCTGGAGTGGACAGAAGCGCCCTGGGCTTCTGGGCGTGGCTGGGCTACGGCAGGAACTCTGCACACGCATCTGTCAACAGCGGCAGAGCCAGTGCCGCTCAGCTGTGTGCCAGGCACCGAGTCCCTCACCTGGTGGCTCTGCGATGCTGGGGGTGGGGGGACAGCCAGGCAGGGGCCTGCCTCTCATGGCCTGGGGCCTTCCTCTGCCCTGGGGCCTGGTCCTGTCCAGGGTCAAGGTCACCTGCCCTGGCAGAGGGTAGCCAAGGTCAGCCCTCTGGGCCGGGCGTGTCTCCCTTACCGCTTGTCTGTTCTTGAGGATGCCTGGCTCATCTCGCTGTTGGCGATGAAGTTCCTGATTTCAGAGAAGTAGGAGTCCTCTTTCTCGTCTAAAAGTGCGTGGTTGTCCGACTCGGAGGTCGGGGAAGAGGCACTGGTGCCCAGGTGGTTTGTGAGGACCCCCGCGTGCTGGCTCACTGTGGAGGGGCAGGTGTCAGGACACCCTCGGCAGGGCCTGCCTTGAGTTGCTCTCAGCTGCCCTCCTACCTGCCTCCCCTAGCACCCCCCCTCCTGTCCGCCCGCCTGGCGCTCCACGTGGCCCACTTGGGGCGCCCCACATCCGCCCACCTGGCACCTCCCCTCCCTCCTGGCGCCCCACGCGGCCCACCTGGCGCGCCCTCATGCTCGTGCTTCTTGAGGTGCCTGTCCAGGTTGGTCTGCTGCCCGAAGCACCGGTTGCACAGGTGGCACTTGAAGGGCTTCTCCTTGTTGTGGATGTTCCGCACGTGCCGCTGGAGGTTGGAGGAGATGCTGAAGGAGCGGTCGCAGTACTTGCACCTGGAAGACAGGCGCACCGGCGGTGGGCAGGGGCTGGCCTCCACCCAGGCCAGCACCTGAAGCGGCAGATCCTGTCTGAAAGAGCCCTGAGCGGGCCGCAGGTCCTGCTGGGCCTCCAGCGTCCAGGGCCAGGCATGTCCGCAGCCTGGGGCGACATGCTCCCAGCAGCCTCACGAGGGCAGCATTACAACACGCAAGAGCTGAGAGCCGCCCCCAGCTTTCCAGGTGGAGGGAGGCCGGCCCCCAGCCTTGCTCTGCAGCAGGAAGGCTCCCAGGTGCCCTCTGAGCGGCCCTCTGTCTCACTTGGGCTTCAGGGTGACAAACCTGTGAATGCTTAGCTGCCCTGGCCGGTGGGGTGGGGGGGCTCCTGGACCTGCAGCCAGAGGGCTGAGGACGGCCTGGGGCTATGCCGACCTTCTTAGTCACCACCCTTGGGCTCGGTTTATCTTTAGGTCCCATCTGGGCAGCAGGGTCTCACCAGCCTGCGCTCTGACTTGGACAATCAGAGGACACCTGTCCTGACTCCCCGTTCCTCAGAGCAGAGCCCTGACACACAAGTGAGGAAGCCCGCCCTCTGCACAGCTTCCCCAGGGAGGGTCCCCGCTGTGCACCACCCTGAAGGCCCTGAAGTGACCCGCACACTGAGCAGCAAGAAAGCCCAAAGTGAAACAAAGAGGCGAGCAGAGGGGCAAGGGCTGAAGGGGTCTCCTGAGCTCTGTAGACCCGCGAGTGCCCTGGGAAGAGCGGGTTCTGCACTGCGGAGGGCAGGTGGAGGGGAGGTGACCCACAAGCCTCCCCAGCCAGAGCCACCAGGGGCGCCACACGTGTGCAGGAGGTTGGCCGCGGATGCTGTGCACCTGGCCTTCAGAGAGCCTCCAGGGAGGCTCATCAGGGTCTCGGGCGGGAGCCCTGGGTGATTTTGTTTATATGAGGTGTGCGTCCGCATGCTTGGAAAGCAAGCCCTGCTGTGTCCACTGGGTAAGGTACAGGCATTCTGGCCGTGGGCCCTGCCTGGCTGAGGCTTTCGGGACGCAGGGCCTGTGCAGCCAGCCTTGGTGGGGGCACGGGTGGGGGCTCTGTTCGCCACCAGGATGTCTGCCTGTTGTAAAGACAGAAGTCCCACGGGCCAGGGCCCTGCGAGGCCCCACCTCACCCACATTTGGTGCTGGTGGACACTCCAGCCCAGCATGCTGGTCACGAGCCTTGGTCATGTGGACACTTGCCCGAGGGCACTTCAGGACACAGCAGGGAGGGTCTCTGTAGGAGTGGCCTTTGCAGCCCTGTGCCACCCCTGGGAGGGGTCTGGATTGACATCGGCGGCTGGTGTAGGCCCTGCCCAGGGAGCCTGAGGGGCCAGAAGCATGCCCTCAGGGCAGGCCCTGGGCCCCACATCTGGACACTGCTGGACTGGAGAGAAGCACACCCCGTGTGAAGGGTGCAGGTGCACGAAACTGTCCCTGGACCCAGCCTGCAAGTGCCCCATCTACAAGCCACCTGACACAACCCTGCAGGCTGATAACAAGTACCCCAGAAGATGGGGGGACGGTGCTGACAGGGAGGAGTGGCCCCCTGTGCCCAGGCCTTCTGTCTGGGCTTGGCAGCCCCAACCGCAGCTCCCATGGTGCACCCACTCTTGCCTGAGGCCAGGTCCACCCCAGCCTTCTCTACAAGGCACGGGCAAAGTGCTGCTCCAGGGCTGTGCACTGGCTCCTCGGCATGCCCGCCTCCTCGGTCCCTTGTCCCCTATCCTGGCTGCACCTCTCTGCAGGACCCTGCACCTCCTTGGCTCTGCTGAGTGGCCTCAGGCATATGGATGTCCCAGGGAGCACAGGGCTTGCCCACAGCCCCTCCCCGGCTCAGCCTGGGGACAGTCGGCAACCTGACTGACCATCTGAGGGGCCAGAGGCGCTGGTTGACTTGGATTTTTCCACCTGAGCAATAACAGGTCCAGGCCATGGTCTGAGCTCCCCCAGTACTGGGCCAGAAAGGCTGGGGTTCCTCCAACCAGTGTACCCACAAAGAGCCCAGAAAGGAGGCGTTTTAATCCCAGTGCCCTGCCTCACTGGGGCCCATACACCCACAACATGCAGACCCCGGGGGAGCCAGGCTCCCAGGCTTTCTGGTTCCTCGGGGCCATGGCTCCGGAAGGACAAGCTTGATCTGGTGTCTGCCCAGCGAAGGCTTCCCGGGCAGTGGCACTGACAGCCCTGGGGTGCCTGGCGCGGGCCAGCCTGTCTGAGGGCGAGCTCACGCTCACACCCCGCCAGTCCAGTTCCTGCTTCCTTTGGGAATGTGGGGACCCTCTGATGCATCTCCCCACAAACACTGAGCAGAGACTGAGCCTGAAGCAGGTGTGGGGGGTGGGGCCTGTGCGTCTGGGGGTCAGGGAAGGGCCAGCGTCCACTGGGTTGTGGTGTCCTGCCCGTGGCCTCTCTTGGCCTAGACAGAGACGTCCATGTGAAACTCCGGGGAGCAGCGAGTCCAGGGCTGTGAGGGAGCAGAGTTCGCCTGCACTGAGGCCTGTGCTGGGAGCTGTCTTGGGGGACACGGCGCCCAACGCCAGGGAGCGAGAGGGCCCAGCCGCACCTGGCCACGCCACCCTGCCGGGAGGGCTGGGGGTGCGCAGGGACGGGGTGGCAGCGGAAGGTAAACAGGCCCCAGACAGTGGGCCCCTCCCTGGGACCTGCGGGGCCACCGCCAGCCATCACCAGGGAACTGCTGTTGGTCCCGTTAAGAATGAAAGGAAAAAACAGAGATTTTGAAGCCCAGTCCTAAAAATTAAAATAAACAAGATCGAGGGCATGCGAGGGCCTCCCGAGCCCCTGACGGAAACACGACTCGCCTTGCTTAGGCAGCCTTGGGGCGGGCAGGGACGGGCTGGGATGGGGCCCTGGGGGAAGAGGGGCACCCAGCTGCACACCGGGCGCCGGCGAAGGCTCGTCTCCGGTCAGGGCGAGACGCGCTCGGTGTGGCTGGGAGGAAGGACCCTGCAGCGGCCCCGGTGTTCCCAGGTCCATCTTCATCCCAATCCTGCCCCCCCCAGTGCTGGAGCTCCAGGAAGTGAGCATCCTTGGCCACACCTCGTCCGTCCTCCGCTTCACCCAGGGGAGGCCGCAGCCCAGGAGCCCCTGCTGCCGGGACGGTGGGAGGCCAGCCTCCCTCCACGCCAGGACCTGAAAATCTTCTGATGCCTCTAGATGATCTAAGGACTCACAAGGAAGATGCTTCTGATCCTCTGCTTCGATTATCCTGCCAGAAGCCCCGTGTCCTCCTGCCCTCCCGGCACACAGAGGCACATATGTGCACATTGACATGCAGTGGGCATGCCCGTGGGTGCCGCCACGGAGGAGGGGCTCGCACCTGGGCCGGCATCGGGGTTCAGCACCTCGTGGCGGGCCTGTGTCCGGCACAGTGGGCTTTTGAGAGGGGCCATGCATTTTTCTCTTCTGACTTTAATCCTGTGCAGATCAAAGCAAGCCTAGAGATCACCAGGGCTCCCAAACGGAGGGCAGCTACTCCTCAGAGCAGGTCGCCTGAGCCAGACCAAGACAGGATTTGCAGCACAAACTTGTGAAGCAATTACTGTTACCAGAGCCGAAAGTCGCAGATTGGAGAGAGCAAAAGAAATCAATGATAATTAAATTCTTCTATAAACACGGCTCGACCCTCTGGGGGCTCTGAGCACACAACACTGTCCAAAAGTCGGCTCTTGTTACAGAAAAAACACAAGCTCGTTTGCTGGGAGGGGACCAGACCAAATAAATCTTTCTGCTGTTCACCTTTGTTAAGTTGTAAGTCACTGTTTTGGAGAGTGGGCCGGGTGCCGGTGTGTGGGGAGGGCTGAGGGCACAGTCACTGGACCCGTCGGGCTGTCACCTACCCTGCCAGGGACTCAGCCCCATGGACGCTGGAGATTCTCCATATATCTGTGTGGGGCTCGGGGAGCAGCACGCACACCGTGCCCCCCGTGGCCTCCCTCCCCAGGGATGGGCACACAGACTGAATCCCCGGGGGTGCCTAGCATCATAGGGTCAATTCCTGGTGACCTGGAGCTCTGTGTGGTCACAGTACAGGCATCTGCTGCTGTCAACCTAAACTGTGCCAAATTCTCTTTATTCCCAAGGCCTTGGCTAGCCAGACACACCCCAGGACGTTACTAAAACGGTCCTGGCAGAGAAACGGGCATTTCCCGCTTGTCTCGGGGTCACAATTGCCTGGGCTCTGTCTAAAAGGCCCACTCCCTGACTGGGCAGGGCTTCAGGAGAATCAGGGTGCCACCCTCAGCCCTTTCCTTTCCCACAGGCCCAAGGGACAGAGAGGACAGGGACCTGGGGACACAGCAGTCAGCTGGGGGACGTCTCAGAGCCTCGGCTTCCTCATCACTGGAGTGGGGGTGGTGAGACTCGCTGGGGGCTGCTGTGAGCTCTGCTTCAATGACCCCCGTATCCAGGAGACAGGAGTGAGGTGGGAGTAGGTGCGTGGCCTCCCCTCAGCCTGCCTGCGAACCGGAGTGAACCCCTGGGGCACCCCCAAGCCAGGATGGGAGCCGTGCTTGCTCAGAGCTGCTGCCCGGCGGTGCACCCACTCCCTGGCCCACCACATGGGGCGGCAGCCGCAGCCGTTGTGAGAGGCGAGGAGCTGTGGGTGCCAACGACACTCAGCTGCTCCACAGACACCCGGGGCCTCAGCTTCAGAGTGGACGCACTCGGATTCTGGGCTGCTGTCCCCGTGGACATTCCAGCCACAGGTGGAGAGCAGCTACCTGCACCTGCTTTCCTGAGCATGGCAGGAGCCTTCTGGAAGCTTCCTGGGTAACTTCTGCCTCCTCCTTACAACCTCTCAGGGAGCCGGATAGCAGTGGGCTCAGAAGAGAGAGGCCCAGAGAGTGACCAGACCCCAGGACTCAGCGAGACCACCCTGGCCCATCCTGCCCACTGCCCCTCCAGGGGCTGTGGCCTTTCTGAGGGTCCAGAGGCAGGGTAGGGGGTCCCTGCTCAAAGGAGGGGAGTTAATGGTAGGCGGAAGCAGGCAGCCAAAATCGCAGCCCCCCACCCCGCCCTCGGAGCTCAGCCGCGCCGCCCTGGCTGGGCTCCTACCTGTACGGCTGCTCCCCGGTGTGCGTCCTCAGGTGTCTCGTGAGATTTGCGGACCGGGGGAAGATCTTGCCACAGTACCTGGGTGGAAGGAGGAGGTGTGAGGAGGCGACAGGCCGCCCTTTCTGACGTCTTCTCTCCGTGCTGGGTCAGCAGCGCCGGAGGCCTCGCCCCGGGGCAGGGCCCATCTGCACCCTGGTTTCAGTTTCTCCGGGGGCCCCGAAGCCTGGCCCAGGCTTACAGAGACGCGTGCTGTGGGCCACAGAGGAGGGTGAACCAGCCCCTGCCTGGAAGCCTCTCGGCCTCTCGGCCCCTCGGCCCAGCAACGGACACAGCGGCAGGGACAGAGTGGGACAGGCCTGCACAGCCAGAAGGTCAGCTGGGGAGTGTCCTCCCACAGAAACTGGCAGGGCCAAGTGCTGGGGTCCTTCAGAGCCGGGGTCCTTCAGAGCTGGGGTCCTTCAGGGTCTAACAGTGGTCAGTTGGTCCCCTCCCGCTGGTGGGCCAAGGTTGTGTTTTGGGCTCACGTGAACCAGCCCAACATGTGTCCTGTGTTGCAGAGGATGCCTCAAGCAGCTGACTGACCAGTCACGGCCACTGTGTTTCCCTGTGGCCATGGCGATCTTCCTAGAAGCGCAGGTTCACAGCCATAGGTGGGCACCTGGGCACCTTCCCACCAGTACTCCAGGGGCACGCAGGGGCTCACCTGCACGTGTACCGCTCCTTGCCCTTCCTGAGGATGGGGTCCGAGAGCGTCGGGGGTGGGGACCGGAAGTTGAAGGGGTGGTGGGGCAGGGGCTGCAGCGAGCCCCCCGAGTCTGCTTTCATGGCTGCGAAGCTCTCCAGCTTCTCTGTCATGGTCTCGATGGCTGCCATCTGCTGGCACAAGAGATGCTGTCTTCAGTGCGTGGACCTTCGTTCGTCATGGGGACGTGAGCACAGCAGCAGGTTCTCAGGTGGTCACTGGAACCAGGGGCCTCCAGTGTCTTACACCTTCTGCAGCCTGCCCTGTCCCTACCCTGGAGCCCCAGCTACAGCCCAGGGTCCAGCCAGAGGGAGCTGGAACTGGCCCTTAAGAACTGGCCTCACTGTCCGGTTTGCATGGAAATGAGTCATGAAGACTGCCAATGCTCGGGACTACCCAATCTCTCATTTTGACCCAGGTCAGCGGGGCCCAGCTGGCACATCCCTGGCAGCGCTCCTGGTGGGCTAGTTTGGGTTATACACAGAATTACACCTAGTTCTTGTTCATCTGTTTTGTTTATAAGCCTTGAAAAATTAAGATGCCGCCTGAATCTGTTTAAAACAGACCACTGGCCCGAGGAACCACTGCCACCTAGTGGCTGCATCTCATAATTGCAGGCAAAGTGCAGAAAAGGAATTCAACCGCTAAGACAAGATCCCCTGGAAACCAATTCAGAACAACAATGCCCAGAGTCACATACGATAGGCAAAGGTCACTGTCTCTGCTCCCTGGAGATGTCAAGGGCTTGCTCAAGGAGAAGGGAGGTGTAGGATTGGTCATTCCCACCTGTTGGGCGGAGTTCTAGTCAAAACCCCAGACTGTGCTGACAGGAGAGGGGAGAGGCTGAAGGAGCCGCTCAGGTCTCAGTGGTGATTCTCCCAGCTCTTCTGTGGGCACTGGGGAAAGCTGGGTGCAGGGGCCCACGGGAAGGAGGGGCTTCATCAAGCCAAAGCTCCCAGTTTAAGGAGAGAACCCAGGAAGTGATGCCTGGGCCCCAGCAGCAGTCACTAGCCCTGGGAGGGGGCCCCTGCAGGCCTCCACACACCTCTGCTCAACGAACCCACAGGACCTGTTTCGCCTTGGAGGGCACAGAGAAGGGACTGGTGAGGCGAGGTGAAGGAAGGCAGGGTGGATGGATGGAGATAGAGGGAAGGAGCCACCCAAGGTCTCAAGTGCAGTGACCACTGGGAGAGACTGGCCCTGGGCAGGGTAATGGCAGCCAGCACCCACAGAGGGGCGTGGGTGGACGAGGAGGTCTTTGCAGGAGGTACTTGCTCATTGACAGCCAAGCCTCTGCCCCAGCCTTCCCCGGGCGAACAGAACCATCCCACGGTGCGGCTGGGGGTTCTTTCAGCCAGCACCGACCCCTCTGCCCCTTGGCCCCTTGTCCAAGTGCCTGGCATGCACCATTGAGGGTGCTGTTCGCCAGGCAGGAAACAGAGGGCTCAGCCCCAGCGCTACTCGGGGCTACGTGCTCCAGTGGTGGAGACATGCTGGCAGTTGGGGGACAGAGGGGAAGCCACTGATGAATGGAGACTGTGTGGGGCCTCCCCTCGAATGCTGCTCTGGGCTCTGCCCCGGCCACAGGGATTCCATCTTCACCCTGTCACCCTCTCCCCTCTTCTGACAGCCCTCAAGAGGACATGGGATGCTTCCAGCCCTACCCGCTGACCCCCAGGTGGAAAGTGCCTGGCTTTCTCGGCCACCATCCAGCCTTCTTTGGCCCTATGGCCTGGGCCCCAAGGTAGCACTGAAGCCCTGGCACGGAGACTGCTGTTCACCTGCCCTCCGGCCCAGCAGTGGCCTAGGAACCCGCTGACTCTCCGCCACCCAGAGACTCCCCAGGAACCCCAGAGCAGGTGAGGGGCTGCCCTTGGGTGGGACCTGGCTCTGTACCCCCAGGGCTGCACACCTGCCCGTGGGACTCAGAGGCAGAGGGGTTTGCTGGGCACCTCAGCAGCCCAGGCAGGTACAGTCGTGACCTCTTGGGAGACCAGCAGCTACCAGGCACTTTTTGCCCAGGTGGCAACCCAACCTCAGACCATTTAATTAGTCACCTCTCCCCTGCCCCTTCCTCCTGGCTCAGGGACACAGGGACCGCCAGGGGTGTTGTAGGCCCACGAGGGGTGGGCAGGAGGGACAATGGGCAGCTGGGCCCCTGCTGGGCCTCTCTTCCTGGGGCTTGGGTGGGTCCGCCTGCCTGGCCTGGTCTGCCCTCTAATATTCCCAGTGGAGACACCCCGCCCCCAACAGGATGTGCGGCTGGCTTGTCTGCCCCTCCAGCCTGCCCGAGGATAAATCAGGGGAAGTCATTAACCAAACTCACGGCCCAGCAGAACAATGGGAGGTGCTAAGTTTAGCTGTGAACTCAACCAGGGCGCAGATTTCACAAACCAGGGGTGTCCAGGCGGGAAAGGCAGACAAACAATGCCCGTGCAGGCTCGGGAGGCAGGCTCGGGAGGCCCCAGGACCCTCCGGGTGGTGGGGGGAGGCCTGGGGCAGTGGCCTGCAGCTGACGGGGGGCCTGGGCTCCTTGAAGGGAGGACAGGTGAGACACCAGGAAGACTCTGAACTGGGCTGTGCCCACCCCCCAGGAGGACACGGACAGGAGGGCGGGCAGGAGGGCCTGCAGGCTGGTAGGGCTGAGTCCAGGGTCCAGGCTTTGGTACTCTGCAGGGGTCCCTCTGCAGACTCCTGCCCAGCTCCCTGAGGAGAGCCTGGTGCCCTCTGCTCTTGGGGAGGTGCACACTCCTGCCCCTCTGCCTGCAGCTGTCCTCTCTGGACTTCACAGTTCGTCAGGCTCAGGTATCACCTAGGAGGACCAGCTTCTACCCTGAGCCACCTGGGCTGCTCACCTCTTCCCCTCTGTTCAAATTCTGGGCTCTCTCCCAGCCCGCCAGTGCACACTCCCGCCCTCCTGGAGTGCCAGGTCTTGGGTCAGTGGCCCCCTGAGGGTAGGGCTCCTATGGTACAAGGCCCCTGGACAGCCTTGCTGGCCTGCACTGTGAGGACCCCCTTCTCATCCTCTCCATCCCTGCAGGATCCTCTGCCTTTGAAAGGTGAGGGTGCTGGCCCCGAGCCTGCCCAGCTGCCCGCCTGGGTTTTACCTGGGGGTGAAACAGCAGCGGGGACGGCCTCAGGTACTTCTCCTTCAGGACACCCACGGGGTCCGTCACCTTCCGCTTTTCTACCCTGCTGGACAGCAACACAGAGGATTACGTGCCCCACTGAGCCACCTGCTCTGCAGAAGCACATCTGTGCCCGCTGGCACGGTGTGGGGCTCACCACAGCTTCCTGCTGGCTCTTACTGCCTTCTTGGTGGCAGAGGGGGGGGTCCTGGCTCACCTACTCACCTGCCTGGACCCCCAGCCCACCTCCTACCCAAATACTCAATTCCCTCCCATGCTCCCGTCACCTCCATGCTCCCCTAGGTCACCCCTAACAACCTCAGCTGCAGGCTCCTGGGCGTGTCATGGGGGCTTGGTGCAGGGGCCAGAAACTTCTCTGAAGGCCCTGGGCACCAGCCCTCTTGCCCACTGGCCAGGGCCACCAGCTCCCATCCACTGGCCATGGCCATAAGCCCTGCCCACTGGATGGGCCAGCCTGGGTGGGAGGCTGCTTTGTCCAGGCACAGAGCCCACCCACAGCACAGTGTGGCTCACTCCTGAAGGCCCAGGGCCCAGCTTCCTCTCCTGCCTGGACGTTGGCATGGGGTGCCTGCCCATTTTTTGCTAATGAACGTGGTGACTGTGGGCTTTTGCCCAGGCAGGGCTCTATCTGAGACTCTGGATGGCTGCTGGAGACTGCAATTCTAGAACCTTCTCCAAAGGCTGGTGACACTCTGTTAGACAGGCCTCGCCCAGGTGACCCGTTGGTCATGGGGGCCTCCACTGCTGCCCCCTTTAGCCGACGCCTCCCAGCAGCAGGTTGCCCGATCTCCCTGCCCCATCCCCATTGAGGGCTGCTGTGAGCCTCCCAGTGCCACGGCATTGGCCAAACCCGGCCTGACCACGTGCCCTCTGAAGACCCCTGGGATAGGCCATGTGTGATTTATCTGTGGGGACCCCCCGCCCCCCGGGGCCCTGGTCCACACTCCAACTCCACCAAGGGCAGTCTGTGCTGCTCTGTGCCCCAGTGGACCACAACAGGCCAGGCCAGTGACAGCAGAGAGAGGGGAAGGCAGCACAGCCAGCCCTGGCCAGATCCCAGGCACAGGCGCCCCCACCAGGGACCCAGGGAGACCACCAGGGCAGACGGCAAGGCTGTGGCCCCGCAGGAGAGGCAGGCTGTGCAGGGCCTCCTGGGACACCCGTGCTCTGGGCCGGTGGCACCTGCAGAGGATGGGACCTGGGAGGGGAAGGGCTCGCTGGGAGGGACAAGCTGTCAGGACGAGTGGGCGCTTCTCTCTGACCTTCAGCCCAAGGTCAGTGCCCCCAGAGGGGCTGACACCCTGCCCAGCAAACTCAGATGCTGCTGTCCTCCTCTGCCTTTCCCTGACACCCGGCTCCCAGATGACCACTGCAGTGGACATGCACACAGCCAAGGTGCTGTGGGTGTCCCGTGGGCACAAAGCCCAGCAGGATGGATGCAGCCACTGTGCGGATTCAGGGAGGCAGAGGGCTGGAGGGGCAGCAGCCAGGGAGGATGCTTACACTCCTCTGCCCAGGGATGGAGGACCAGGGATCCCCCATAGGGGATGGCCAGGGGAAGCTTGGGAGTCTTGCTGATGTCGTGCTGAGTACCCAGGAGCAGAAGGGGCCGGGATGCTGAGGGACCTCTCCCCGAGCCTGGCGTGCTCTTGGCAGCTGGGCCCTGTGCCTTCACACACCACGTCTACCCAGGTTGTACCTGGGGTGGGTAGGAGGGGACCCACCTCAGTCCCTGGCTGGTGTTCCCTAAGTGGACAACCTCTTCCCTGCCTTCTGTCCTTAGGGATGCCCAGGCAGCCCCGTTAGCAGCCTGGACCCTGATGGCCAAGGGTAAGAGTTCAGACACGTCCAGCCCCAGAGCACCTCCACCAGGAGCCCATGTAGGGGCGTGTACGTATGATCGTGCTAGTGTGTGAGCGTGTGGCATGTGGGAGCACACGAGAGTGTGGGCATGGAGGTATGTGGTTGTGTGAGTTCATGTGAGCATGTGCGTCTATGTGTGATGGTGTGTGTGTGAGTGTGCATGTCGGTGTGTATATGTGAGATGCGAATGAATGTATAGGTGAGCATGATTTGTGTATGTGAACGTGTACGTATGTGTGTGCATGCACATGGGTGTGAATGTACGGATGTATGACTAGGGTGAGTGTGTGTATGTGTGTGAGTGTACATGGATGTGTACATGTGTGCATATGTACATACCACTGTGTATGTGTGGGCACGTGCATGGGTGCAGGTGTATGTGTATGTTTACGAACATAGGTGTGCACAGGTGTGCATATGTACATGGGTGTGTATGTGTGAGGGCGTGTGTGAAGGGGGCCTTCGGGCCCTGTGGTCCTCACAGTTCCACCTCCCAGGCTGCCCATGGCCCCTGCAGCTTCCAGGGAAGCCCAGGCCCTAAGCCCTAAACCAGTGGTGTGGAGGGAGGGGTGTCTGGAGGGGAAGGGCAGAGGACGAGAGAGAGGCCAGGGAGGCTCAGGCAGACCACCCTGTCCCTCTGCTCCAGCCCTGGGGTCCCCCCAGAAGGCTCGTCACCCGTCTGGGTCCTATGCACACCAAGGTGGCCTGTGAAGGTCCTGGGATCCTACTTAATTATGATTATTTTTCCAAGATTGAGGTCCTTTGTACACACTTGCCTATGTGGCCAATGTAACTGTCACGGCAGGTGCCACCCTGGACTCCCTGACAGCCAGGACACCCTAGAGAAAGTGAGGCACTGGGTAGAGGATGGGCCTCCCCAGTCTTACGAGCCCCTAATCAACTGGCAAGCGCTGCCCTGGCCTGGTGCTGGCCACCTGTGCCCTGGAAGCGGGGCTGCTGCCTTGACCCTCCCTGCTGAGCCTCTGGCCCGCCCCATGCAGCCTGTGGACGGGCCTCTTCCAAGCAACACAAGGGGCACATTCCACGATCCTGCCACGAGGGTGCCGGCACCCTGCACACAGTAGGAGCTGGCTGCAGACGCGGCTTGGTCTGGGTGGGAGCGGCCTCGGCCCCAGCGGTGCTGTGGGCACTGTGTCCCTGGCAGAGCGGCCAGGCCAGCCCAGCCCTGAAAGCAGCTCTCTGGCCTCCGCACTCTGACATCACTTGTTCTCATCTTTGTCTTCCTAGCTCCCAAAGCACAGCAGGTGAGACCTCCTCACCCAAGTATAAGCCGTCCTCTGTCCCCCCCTGGGGCTGAACTGCGGGGCCAGCAGACACGGCCTTCAGAAGGGGCCGCCGTCCGCTCCCTGCAGCTTGAGCACACAGGCTTCCAAGGCCTGGGCTGGCCCTGGTGCTCGGCCTCTGCTGGGGGCACCCGCTGGGGGCAGCCCCTGGGGTCTCCCTTCATGGCGAGGATGGTGGTGCAAGCTGGCAGGGTAGGACCCCTGCCAGGGAACCTGGTCCCGCTTTCCCTGTGGACCCCTCCTAGGGAGGGGCAAAGCCTGCCCACTGGCTGGGGAATGGGGCTCAGCCGGCCTCTTGCTGGGAGGACATCAGAGAGATGGGACGCTGATGTCCTCCAGACCCTCTTGAACTTCCCTATCCTCTCCCTCGTCCCCTCTGGGGACCAACAGTTCCCTCTGTGGTTTCTCCCAGGCCACCAAAATGCCCCTTAGAGTGGCTTCAAGAGTGGGGTGGGACCACAGGGGCAGCCTTGGGGATGTGGAGCCTCAGGGAGGTGGACAGAGAGCTCAGAGCCAGTGTAGGCCCCTCTGACCTTTTCCGGAACAGAGATTTGGTCCAGGAAAGACAGCTGGACACAGGGAGGTGTGGACACTGATGATGGCAGTACTCAGGAGGGGCTCAAGGTGGGGCAGAGGACATCTGACTTGCGGGTAGTGCAAGGGAGCCACACGTGTCCAGGAGGCCCCACCCCGGCCCACTGACCCTTGGAGTGGCCAAGCCAGATGCCCCTCCAGAGGGGTACGGAGCCCCAGGAGCTGAGGCCCCTCCCTGAAGCCCACAGAGGCAGAGAACCTTGGGCGGACGTGGCCAGCTCCTGCGGCGTGGGCTCCGGGGCAAGAGGAGGTGAGGACGGGCCATGTTAATACCTGTAAATGGGGTCCATGAAGAAGGGAGAGGGCTTGGCGTAGTGCAGGGAGGGCTGCTGGGGCAGTTGCGCTGGGCACACCTTGGGCAGCCCCTCGCCGGCCCCTGGCTTCCGCTCCCCGTAGATGTGGTTCTTCCGGGGCTCCCGGCCCCCTCCGTTCTGGCTGGCGCGGGCCCGGCTGCCGATGCTCAAGTCCAGTGGCTGCTCCTCGCTGGACGCGGGTGCCGGGGGCACCTTGGGCGCGGGCAGGATGGGCTTCGCCTCTTTTGGTTTGGTGGTGAGGTCGAAGGGGCACTCGGCACTGGGGCCGCCCACCTTGAGTGTGTCCCGGGGCGACTTTGGCTCGGCCTTGACCAGCAGGTTGTGGGCGAGGGCGCGGTCCGTGAAGGGGTATAGGGAGTGGGGGAAGTTGGGCAGGAACTGGAAGGGGAACACCGAGTGGTAGGGCAGCGCGCCCAGCTTCTTCTCCTGCATGCCCATGAAGCCCGGGCCAAAGTACTTCTCCGCGATGGATGCGATGGCTTTGATGGAGTCGCCGGCGGCGCCCGAGGCGGTCAGCAGCTGCTCCTCGGGCGGCGGGAAGAAGGAGTGCTGTGAGTAGAAGACGGGCACCTCGGCCCCACTGTGGGTGGACCCTGGGGGCACCGAGCCGCCGCCAAACTCGGGCTTGCCCTTGTCCTTGCCCTTGTCTCGGTCGCTGTCCACGTCGCTGTCCAGGTCCGAGCCAGTCCCCGTCGTGGTGTCCAGGTCAGTCCCCGTGGTGGTGTTGATGTCCTCAAAGTCGCTGCCATCGGACATGTCGGGGCTCCTGGTCTTGAGCTTCTCCACGTACGTGTCCTCCAGGCGGCTCTCCAACTTCTCCTCCGGCCCCGTGGCCGCCATGGCGCCCTGGCCGCTGTTGCTGACCGCGGAGATGAGGGGCAGTGCTGGGTTCCCCAAGGGGCTGGGGAGCTTGGCGTCCTGTGTGTGGTTCAGGGGGCTCTTGAGCAACGGTGTGGGAGGTAGCAGAGGCGGCCGGGGGTACAAGGACGGAGGGAAGATGCCCGGGAAGCCCGGCGTGAGTGCAGGGAAGGCCGGGGGGCCCGTGGAGAAGGGCAGGCTCCCAGGGTGGGGCCTGGAGGGGAAGTACTCGTTGAAGCCCAGGCCAGTGTGGTTGAGGTTGGGGGAGGGCTTTGCCTTGTCCATCAGGGGGCTGGGGGTCAAGGGCAGGCCTGGGGCGAAGAGGCCGCCCGGCGTGTAATGGCTCTTGCCCTCGCAGAAGCGCCGGTGCTTGTTCAGGGAGGAGGTAGTGCTGAACATCTGCCCACAGTCCTTGCACTTGATCTGCGTGCGGCAGTCGGCGTGCATGCGCTTGTGCCGGCACAGGTTGGAGAACTGCGTGTAGGACTTGTGGCAGACCTCACCTGGAACATCAGCAGAGAGCAGACACAGGCCGTATGAAATTAAGGGGACCCGCACCTCGAGGGGAGCAGCTGTGCGGGCGAGTGGGCCTGTGTGTGCGTGTGCGCCTCTTCGTGTGTGTGCTATGAATCTACAACACGCCATGTCTCATGCGTGTACAGAGCCTGTGCTCACCTGTCTGTGTGTACTATAGGGAAGATGTGCACGTACAAACGCGTGTGCCTGTCTGTGCACAGGCGTCCCACCCTGGGGCTGTCTCCGGGGGGAGGGAGAGCCAGCCCAGGCCTGGCCGAGGGCCCGCAGCAGGGCTAGGCCCCCTCAGCTGGCTGCTGCAGGTGCCTGGGCTCCACAGCCACCCACTTCCTCACGGCTCCAGACACGGCTGTCCCCACGGGTGAGAGCAAACCCTGACCGCTCAGCTCTCTCCCACCTCCTGAGGCTCAAGTGCCCCTGGCTCAGGGGTCCTGTGAGCTGGGTCAGAGCAGCACCCGCTCGTCTCCCTCTTGCTTTTCTAACAAGAAAGTGAGGAGCACACGCAAGCGTGGGTGTCCACGGGACAGCCTGCTTCCTAATCACGGAAACAATGGCTCCTCTCCCTCGTCGGGCAGGGTGTGGACGCAGGCCCACTCACACGTCCCCCCACTCGCCCTCGTGGTCACCGGCTCACACACCCTGACTGCACACGCCCGCCCTCTCCAGGACGGTGCTCTTCTGGAACGTGCTCGCGAGGAGCCGCCCACTTCCACGCGCCTTCTCGCCTCCCCCTTCCCCCCTCCCTCAGGCACCCACACGGCACACTCCAGGTCCCCAGTGGCACAGACATCACCTCGGTTTCTGAGCTGGCGGGGGCTGGGGGCTTCCAGGTGTCGGGTGGGCTCCGGGCGTGCACACAGGTTTCACCCAGTGGGTGACACGGCGTCCGTGTGTACTCAGTGCCCGTGCCCTCACTGTCCTCCAAGTGACCCACGTGGACTTCCCCACTTCCTTGCGGTTTCCCATCCAAACCTGAAGCCCTCTGAGGGGCTCCGAGCGTGCTGCCCGGCTCTGGCCTTCGCCCCGTCTGGGGGCCGTGCCCCACATCAACCTGGGTACAGACTCAATCTTGAGAGCTGGATTGCTTTTGCCAGAAGCCAAGGCACAGAGGGGGCCTGGACACCGATGAGGACATGGGTCATCACCCTGGGGTAGGCCCACCCTGCGGGGAGCCTGTGCCATGCGGGGGAACCGTGGGCTCAGCCCGCCCAGCAGGGGCAGCCTGGAACTCACGCTCTTCACGGGACCCAGTGGGCTTCATAAAGCCGGTCTGCACGTCCCGAGGACCACGGTGCGCCCCCAGTGGGCTCTGCCGTGAGGCTGCACCAGTCCTGGAAGCCGTCACCTCACGCCAACACGCACACCCGCCCACAGGGCCTCGCTCTCCTCCTCCGTCACTAGGCCTGATCTGGGTGTCATGATAACATGGGGGACAGTGCGCAGACAGGTGACATAGCTCAGCCAGAGGTCTGCGAGGGGTGACAGCCTGACGTGTGCGTGTGAGACGACCGTGCAAGGCAGGCGTGTGCGAGATGCACGAGGCATACGTGCTTGTGTGTGTGAGGTGACTGTACAAGGCACGTGTGTGGGAGATGATCCTGCACCACGCATGTTGTGTGTCGGTGACTGCATGGGGCAGGCGTGTACTTGGACACACGTGTGTGTGTGTGTGAGATGATCCTGCACTACGCACTTGTGTGTTGGTGACTGCAGGGGCAGGCATGTGCTTGGGAACGCACAAAGTGTGCGAGTGTGTGACTGCACGAGGCGTGAGGACTAGGCCTGCTGTGACAATGACGATGGCACACGGGGACATGGCCTCTCTGTGGCTGAACTCACTGAGAACCAGGGCCAAAGGCCCTGTGCAGGCCCACAGCCTGCAGGACTGGTCCCTGGTGACATCTGCCCCCTGTCCCCCAGCCCTGAGCCTCTCAGCAGGCACCCAGGCCAGTGCTCCTCACCACTGTACTGGGCACCTCCCAACAAAGGTGCAGGGGCAGTGCCCCCCCAGCACCAGCTCGGCCTCCCTGAGGCTCTAGCCCTGCACTGCTGTCCCCAGCTGCTGTCTGTCACCTCGTCTCCTCCCACTAGCATGTGAACACAAGGACAACAGGACCGGGCACCTGGGAGCCAGGCCTGCCCAGTGGCTCTGGAGGACACTGCTCCATGGGCTGGCCCCACCCGGCTGCACTCTGTAGCTCAGCCAGTGCTGGGAGCAGAGGGGCGGGGAGAAACCGAGGTCCTTGCTGCCCCCCCACCTACCTGCAGCCACTGGAGGAAGCACAAAGGGGGGGCCATGCAGGAGGGGGGCGGGGAGCAGGGTGGAGCGAGCGGGCAGTTCTAGTGGCCCCTGAGGGCTGCCAGGACCCAGCCACTAGGCAGAAGCCTCGGGACTGGCTGGGAGGGATTTCTGCCCCGCAGCGTGGGCCGACAGGCAGGCGCAGGCGGGCGCGGGCGGCAGGCGGGCACTCACATATGAAGGGCTTGACGGTGCTGTGGATGTGCTTGTGCTGCTTGAGGCCAGAGGACGTGGCGAAGGTCTTGCCGCAGTCGGGGCAGGCGTGGGCCCGGGCGCCCACGTGCTGCGAGCGGATGTGCCGCTGCAGGTTGCTGGGGTCCGTGAACACCTGGGAGAGACGCTCTGCTGGAGGGTCCAGCCAGAAAGGCAGGGCCCTGCCTCCCTCTGGCGCTGCCCTCCCTGCCCGAGCTGGCCGGGGCAGCTGCTGGGGGCCACCGGGGAGCCGCAGAGCCTTTGGGCTTGGGTTCAACAGTCACTCCTGGGGACATGGGGGCCATCAGGCCACACGTGATCCCTGCAGAGAGTGTCTCCGCTGAAGTACATTGACCCTGAGGGCTGGCACCAGGGAGGCCACCCTCGCCAGCCTCTTCCTTTGGGTTGGCAGGGGCATAAGGGCCTCCCTGGAGAGGACGTGGGTTCTGGTTGGGCCCTGTTCCTCCTGAGTTGTGCGATAGGGTCTCTGACTTCCTGTCCTCCCCAGGAATGAGGAAGGACCACAGTGGCCCTGGGGCCTCTAACCTAAGCTACTCTTGCTACCCTGGGCATTTTCACAGGACGGCGGAGGGAGCTGGGATCGGGGCCAGGCTGGCGGGACTGGCACGGTACCTTCACGCAGTTTTCACATTCAAAGCGCTTGCCACTGTCATGGGACATCTGGTGGCGGATGAGGTTGGACTTCCAGTTGAAGGCCTTGGGACACTGGTCACACTTGTATTCCCGCTCCTCTGTGTGGACGATCATGTGCTGCTCCAAGCTGTGGACAGGGGTCAGAGTCACTGGTGCCCTCTGCCTGCCCCTCCCGCTGCATCCTCTGGGGGTTGCCCAAGGGCAGACACAGCTCTCCCTTGTGTCAGGAGGAAGCCGGTACCTACCCAGAGCTCAGTCCTTCATCCAAGGCCACCCCCAGTCAGCCAGGGGCAGGGCGGGACCCCAGGTCCCACGACCTGGCCACCCTTCTGGGAAATCCCAACTTTGGACTAAACTTGGGCCGAGGGAAAAAGGAGTCACGGAGGTTGGACGCTTCCATGACGTGGGGCTGGGCAGGAACCGGGCTGCCCCTTGCAGTGGCCTGCCACCCAGGAGGCAGCAGGAGTGGCAGAGGGTCTGCAAGGGTGACGCTCTTGGGCGGGGACAGCAGCTGCTTGCAGGGTCCTGCCCCTCCCAGCTGAGCCAACAGCCTCTGACCCCTCCTCTCGGGGGACCCCCGCCTCCCCTCCTGTCCCCGGGATATCCGTTAATCTTCATGAGCAAAGCAGTAATACATCACGGCCCGCTAATTACGGGGCCCAGCCATCCATTTAGATCAGGAACGCCTGCTCCTCCGGCACCCGGAGATTGTATCTTTTGCCTGTTGTTAATTGTGATTTATGTGTTTATGTAAAGAAAACAGGGACCCTCTTTAGGGCGCTCTGTGGCGGCCTCTGCCGGGATTCGCCCACACGCTCATTTCTCAGTCGTCTGGGTGGAGGGTCTGCATCCCAGGGGGCTGGGTCTGGACGGGCTCTAAATCCCATCACAGGCCGTTAGTGGCCCGATGGTTGCTCACTGTGCAGGGCGGGCCTGTGGGAGCCCTCCCAGGCGGGAGAGGCCCGAGCCACAGCGGCTGGTTCCTGGAGCTCTGGGACTGGGTGTCCTGCTTCCCCACAGAGCCCGGTGCTATCTGTCCTTGGAATTTCATGTAGGTCTCCAAGGCCCCATCGTAGGGTCTTGACTCCTGCCCAGCCTCAGGGTGGAGGAGGGCCAGTGGACCTGGTGCTCTGATGTCCTTCTCGGGCAGGTGGCTGCCACCTGAGGGGAGCAGAGCCTGGGGTCTGGGGTAGAAGGGGTTCTGGATGATGCCTTCCTGGGCCTGAGGAGGGGTCCAGGGGAGGCTGCCCATGTAGTCCTTGGCAGTAGGCACTGTGGCCCCTGGCATCAACTGGGGCTAGAGCGCAGCATGCCCAGGGCCTGCCCACAGTCCTGACCCTTGCCAGGCGGTCTCCACAACTCAGGCCTGCAGCCGGCAGGGGCAGTGGCCTCCCTGTCAGGGATGAGCAGGTCTTTCTGGGGCTCAGACTTTCTGGTGGGAATGGGGCGACACCAAGGCTCCGGCACGGGCCGCTGGTGCGCCTGCTCTGTCCCCGCGTTGTACGGGGGCCTGGTGCCCGCCTGGCCCTGGTGCCCACCTGCCCCTGGTGCCCGCCTGCCCCTGGTGACCGCCTGCCCCTGGTGACCGCCTGGCGGGGGGTGGCACCTGTACTTGGTGGGGAACATCCGCTCGCAGTCCTTGCACTCGTGGGAGGGGTCGCTGCCCCCGCCACCGAGGCCATCGGGCTTGAGCCCCTCCCCCAGGCCCTGGTAGATGGCAGTCCCCGCAGAGCCGCAGGCGTATTTCTTGTGGCGCCGCAGGTCCACCTTGCACGGGAAGAGCTCGTCACACTCGTCACAGCGGAACGTGGGCTCCTCTGCAAGACAGGACAGGAGGTGGCAGCAGAGCCAGAGCCCCCCTGTCTGGCTCTCCTCTGCCCCCATCCTGGAGCCAGGGTCCCCGGGGCCTGGGAACCACAGGGACGGAAGACCCCGGCTCTGCCTCCTGGGAAACACTGAGCCGCACGAGGGCCCTGGCCGTGCCTCAGGCAGCCACTGTGGGCGAGAGGGGGCTCTGCCTGGGAGCCAGAAGGAAGCCAGAAGGAAGCCAGGCCAAGGCTTTGTTTATGAATCAGAGGAAGAGACGACAGAGCGCCAATGCGTATAATAAATTATTGTCATCAAGGTCAAACAAATTAAAAGGGGGGCAGCTATTATTAAGTTTATGAGCAGCATCCTGACCACGGTGCCAAGCCAAACAATCAGGCTGGAGCTGTCACCCCGCGGGGGTGAGTCTGGGCCCCCTTCTGCCTCCCTGCCTGCACTCGGAACCCTGCTTGCCACCTGGCTGGAGAGCGAACACCTGCTCTGACCTCTCACAGTAGCACAGCACATTTGTGTATGCTTGTGGGCACGTATGGGTGTGCAGACACATGCTTGTGCATGGTATGTGCAGTTGCATGTGATGTCTTTGCAGGAGTCTGACCAGCCCAGCACAACTGTACCATGTTTGTGCGTCTTTGTGTGAACATGTGTGCATGTCTGTGTATTTGCACCCACACTCATGAACATGCATTTGTGTTTACATGCACATGTGTGTACGTGAACATGTGTTCATGGGTTTCTAGGCAACTGTGTATGCAAATATTCGTGTGCTGGCATATTTCCAAGCTTGCACATGTGTAGTATGCATGTACTGTGCAAATGTGCCTGCATTTGGGGTATGTACATGTTTGTATCCATCTTTGTGTGTCCACGTGTGCACACTTTGCATGCGTGCATGTGTTTTGGTGGGTCATGCATGCATGTTGTGTTGTCACTTGTGAGCACATAACTGTGTCATGTGTTACGTAGGCACATACTTATGTGCACATGTATGCTTTGAGTGTGCGCATCGCATGTGCACGTGTGCAGTGCATCCACGTGCACTGTGAATGCATGAACACGTGTGCACATGTTCAGATGTGTGGATGTGTGTCAGGGGTTGCGTGTGCTCATGTGAACGTGTGGGTGTGCACGTGCCCAGCCTGGGCAGAGCCTCCGTGAATTGGGCTGACTGAGAAGGCTGGAGCTGCAGGGTACCGAGGCAGGAGAGATGGGGACAAAGGAGAGACAGCTATGACCAGGGGCCATCTCCAAGTCCTGGAGGAGGCGAGATGCGCTGCAGCCTGGGCATTGTGATAGCCATGGGCAGGGGCACCTCCTGATACTGGAGGCTTCCCTGAGCCCAAGGGTAGAGGCCTGGGCTGTACTGCCACCCCTAATGGTGGGAACCCAGTGCCACCTTGAGTCCCTAAGATGCTGCTGCTGAGCCCACAGGGCGACACCTACAGGACACAGTGCTGCCCACCAGCTGTGACTCCTGGCCAAGTCTTTGGAAAGGGGCTAATATCTGGGTGGCAAGGAAGGGCTGCCAGGCCAAAAGAGGGCCTTGGGCCTGCGTGGGTTTGGGGCCTCGTGGCAGATGCCACTTCTAGTCCAGATAACCCAGTTTCACCAGGAGTTAGGTGTCCTGGCCCTGCTGCCTCATCTGAGCCTGTGGACAACACGGAACTTGCTTGGGAGGACGAGACCACAGAGAAAGAAAGCCTCACCCGATGCAGACCCTCACCCACACAGCCCTGCTGGGCCACACTGGGCCACAGGACTGCTCTGCAGCCTCATGCTGGACACTGGGCACCCAAGTCTCTACCCCAGCATCTGTAGGGGAGGCCACCTGGGATCATTCCTGGACAGATGCAGAGCCAGAAAACCCCTCCTAGGCCCTGGACTCATCCTTGGGTGCCAGGGTGTGACCCCCAATGGGAACCTCAGAGTGAGGAGGGGGAGGAGGAGGGCAAAGGTGACTCACATTACAGAAATAGTCACCCTCCAGGTCTACACGATGGCTTTAATATAACCCAGTGTGCAGTATCTTTTCAAGAGGTGTTTGCTGTGAACATTATGTGAACAGTGATGTTCACACGGGAGGTTCCCTGGGCACCTGTGGGGCAGGCGCTGTCCTAAGAGCCTCATGGGATTCATGTATTGGAGCCTTGCACTAACCCGAGCGCCATGGGTGCTGTTTGTGTGTCCCACTTTGTCACAGAATAGATGAGGGATACCACCAGCATCAGAACTAAGTCACCATTTTTATGATGCTTCTCGAGTCCCCCAGCCAAAAAGAAGCACAACTGCAGAAGCTGAGGTTTGAAACCAAAGACAAGAAGAAGTGCCACCTCCACTCACCCATCCTGCTGACCAACTCATTTTCCCATTTTTGATTTGAAATTTGGATTTAAAATAAAAATCTGGGGGGCTAGGGGTGTAGCTCAGGGGCAGAGCACGTGAGCATGTGTGCGGTTCTGGGTTCAGTCCCCAGTCCTACAGAAGCAAACAAGACACCGTGCAACAGAATCAGCAGAGGACTTGACCGGTTTAAAATGAAAGTCCAGATTCTGATTCTGGTGGTGTCCGAGGGCACACTGGAGGCAGTGCAGTGGGCCATGGTGACACACGGTGTTCCTTCGTCCTTGGCCCCATTCTTCTGCAAACTCCCGTGTCCGCCCTGGAAGACACAGCAGAGCCTCACCAGCCCATGTGTGTGGTGTGGACGGGCCCTTTGGCTTCCCGCAGGCAGGGGAGGCGGGATCCGAGTGCACACGGGTTTCCCTTCAGCAGCAACAGAAACCCCATTTTAAAGAAGTGCTAAAAGTGTGTGCAACACCCTGACGCGCGTCCTGTGGCAACCCATGGTGTTGTGTGTCTGTCTCACACTGTACGCACACACAGTGTCCTCTGGACCTTCCCTGGAGAGGGGGCAGTGCATTATTATGAGCCTCTCTAGATGGAAAAGCACATTTGAATACAAAGGACTTTATTTTCTCCCAAGACCAAGAAAGTTCTCATGGGAAAGAATTCTTTTTGACAAGCGTCTAAAGAAAATGAAAGGTCGCTGGACCTGGGAATCTGAACGTGGTCAGCAAACCAAGCTCCCTTTCAACCTCTCACCTGATGTGGTCCCCAGCCAAGCCCTGCTCTCCCAAAAGCACAAAAGAGAATGATTGGAAACCGAGCTCTCTTCAACTAACTGCGGTGGAGGGTCTTGGGCTGAGGTAGACAGTCTAACTTCTACCCAAACCAAGCCACTCGGGCCCAGCCTGTGTCTTGCCCATCAAACCTGCACCTCCTTGTCTAGCTCAAGTTCCATCAGCAACTTTCACGGCAGAGCAGGAACATAACAGAAAAATAAATCAGTGCCTAATGGCTTCGAGAACGGAGGGGTTCACAATTACACGGCATCCACACGCTAATCTACGACTCCAGCCTCGAAAGAGCTCGAGAGCTGACTCCAAATTCCTGCAGTGATAAGGGGTCTCTGCATTTAGCCAGGCTGGCATAAAAGAGTTTTTATGATAATTATCTTAGTGAGGAACGTTTTTGCATTTTCTTTCTGCTGGATTCAGAGTTTAAGTGGGGGTGGGGAGTGGCTTTTGGGGCGGCAAAGAAGCGACCTTGACAGCAGAGGGTGGAAAAGTCAAATATTTGATGTTGGACTATTGTGTGTGGAAAGCAATTAGCCCACAGACGTTTGATAGATTATTAGGAAAATGTAGACTCAAGTTATTTAATATCGGGGGTTGGAGGCAGGTGGGGAACAGGAATCAAGGTTTTTAAAAAACCTTTGGAAGAAAGAGATTTCATTGTACAAATGAAATTCCGGAGTCGAGTGCTCTCCTTAAGTTAAGTAGATTTATCTCCCGGAGCTCTCATGCAACATCTAAGATTCACAGGTCTTTTCAACAATTATTTTAGGGAAAATGAGACCTCCCTCTTGCTACTCAAATCTTGCAGATTTATTTTTCTTTTCTCAACGGCCTAATTAAAACCAAACTTTAGGGGAGAGCACAGACGGCACCCGGCTGGCAAAACTGTCCTCTGTGGCGATTTCCTTTCTGCCGAGTCAGGGACAGAGACTGCTGCCCCATAGAGGGGGGACTCTGATTGCTGGGCCAGGCATGGGTTGAGGGGTAAACTAAGGCAGTCTTGGGGGTCTGGTCCTAAAGCCTTCCTGCTAATTCCAGCTGCCTGGCCAGCCACACGGCTCCGTCACCGGGAAGTCAGAGGGGCTCCTTGGAGGAACTCGGGGTTAATGGCATTAATCATTAAACCTTGGTATGTTTGCAGGGGAGGGAGAGGAAGCAGGGAGGAGGAGCCCAACCTCCCTCCTTTCTCTGGCGTGAGCAGGAATCGCTAGTTCTGGAAACAGCTAGACAGAGAGAAGGCCTTTCTGTCCACTGGTGTGGTCTCATCCAAAAAGAAGCTGCTGAACATCTGTTTAGCAAAGCCACTCAGGGCCACCGACCCGTGCTCACAGGCCGTGTGGGCCCCCCTCAAACCACTAGCCCAGGAGCCCCGGCTGCTCAGCACAAGGAAGGAATGCCAGCCTGGGCTCTGGAACCACGTCTGTGGGAGCTGGCTTCTCCTCGAGGGGTGCAGACAGACAGAAAGGGGCACTGGCTGGTCACATCCTAAGGGACAGGTACTCTGATGACAGAGAGGGAAGGAGAGCAGAGAGGTTGCCCAGGCCTGCAGGGAGGAGCAGAAGACCCACTCCACCCTCGAGTTGTCCTCCCACCCAGTAAAGGCTCCCAACTCTCCTGAACTTCAAACTGCGAGTGAACATCACTTCTAAAGACCCATATGTAGCCATCTCCCTCTTATCTGAGACGACAGGAAGCCCCAAAGTGAGCAGGGACAGCCTTCCAAGTCACAAAATAGGCTATGAATTTTTTTGGGGGTGGGAAAACTTATAATGGAAATAATATTAATAGAGCTTTACAAATCACTATAGTCAGAACTCGGCAGGCTACGATGGCCCACACTGTCCTAGCCCTTCTCACATTTGGGGTGAGACTCCGAGGTCCCAGGGAAGGAGGGAGGAAGCCCCCAGGCTGAGGGGTCCAGCAGCACTACATCAGCTGACCTGGGGTCTGCAAACACTGGACACTGCATTGCCAGAAGCCCAGCCCCCCAGCACGTGGTGTGACGTGAAGAGACACCTGGTACCTCCTTCGAGGGGTGGGGCCCAGGTGGCGGCCCAGTGGGGTCTTACCATCCAGGCTGGGTGGCACCGCGCCAAGGGAGTAGGCACTTTCCTTCACGTGCACCAACAGCTCCTCACCCGGCTCAATGTCCTTAATGACTTTATAATAAATCTAGAATGAAGAGACCAGAGAGAAGGGTAAGCATGGGCACTGCCGCTATCCGCAGAGCTCCGTGCACACTCAGCCCCACAGGCTGCAGAGGTCGCTGTGGGGAGGCTGGCCCACAGGCCACTTGACCTGGCTTCTAATTGCTGCTAAGAGGTTTCCCTCAGGAGTTGAGCAGCGTGTGCACAAAAGGAATGGAGTCCGTTTTAATTTGTTTCATCCTGTTTTGGGATATTGATAGAAGAGGGTGAAAAATTAAAGAGGTGAGGGTCAGTGTCAAGTCCCCAGTCAGGAGGTCTCCTGGAAACCCCCAGACTGGAGCAATTCTCACTGGGAGCAGGGTTTTGGATCCCTTCTGTGTCCTTTGTGGGTAGAAGCGAGAGGCCCCGTGCTGCAGAGACAAAACTGAGCACCAGCTGGCCACCAGGGGCTCAGAGTGCAGCGTGAATCTGGTTGTTTTTGAAGGTGGCCGAGAGCAGGCACAGGCTGTGGGTAAGGACACTGCCTGAAATTCCCACAGGAGTGATGCACCCCAGAGTCACGGAGGCTGCGTGTGGGAGGATGGAGGACCTGCCATAGCTTAATGCCCAGCACTTGGCAGTGGGCTGGAGATGGGGGTGCCCTGAGAACACAGTGGGGGTGCAGGACAGATTGTACAGCCTGAACGAGCACTGGGGTCGAGGGGAACCACATCTGGAATGTCTTGCCCAGCAGCTCTGACCTGGGCCATGTCTCCTGAGAAAAGTGGTCTTCTCTTGGCAGTGGTGAAGGCAAAGGGTCAGAGGAAGAAACCTCTAGCAATTTAGAAAGGGAGGCAGGCCATCTTGTCACTGCAGGTCCCAGGGACTTTGGGGAGGACCCAATCTGAAGGCACAAGGACTCGGGACCCCCATGTGGGCCACTCCTCCCTGGGCGTAGTGACATCTTCGGACTGGAAGGGCTAGAGGTGTGGGCACTTTTCTGTCGGGGCCATCGACTGCCTGCCTGTGGCACAGGGGTGTTTGGGGCTCTATTCTGATACCTGGAACAAAGAGCTTCCGGGAACCTGCCACCTGGCCCGAGGACTGCCCTGGGAGATCCTCAGCACCATCCTCATGGAGGAGGGGTCCAGGATAGAACTGAATGGGCAGAGGGTGGAACACTGACCAGGAAGACAGGGCTGGGTAGACTCAGGCTCTCCAGGGGTTGAGGGGAGGGGCTGTCCTTGCTGTGGGTGACACTTCTCCCTGCACTCTCCAGTTAGTATGGGTCAGGCTCCATAGCAGCTGGCCCTGGTTGGGGTCGGTGGCTAGAGGTGGTCAGCACTGCAGAGACAGAACTGAGCACCAGCTGGCCACTTGCCTCTCTAGGCTGCATATGCTGTCCCCCAAGTTGAGGGCTCTGTTACCCATCCAACTCCACAGGACACCAGTGAGATTTCAGGACACACAGAGAGGCTCCCCACAGCCCGGAACTCACTGGCTGCTATTCCCAGGACTCCCAGCGGCCACCCTACATGAGGTAGGAAACACACAGGTGCACACACATATATCTTATCAGTGTGTGAAGTTCTTCTACCAGCAGTCGGTAGTAGTTATTTTGTTTGGCAGTTATTTTCAGATAGATTGATAAAATAATGAGTAGATTTTAAAGTGGACCAAATTAACTTCATTAATGAAACCAATTAAAATCCCAGTTTTGTATCATCTAAAAAAAAAAAAAACCTCTCATTGGCTGAATTTAAAAAAAAAATCAGATTTAAGCCACAGTGTTTCAAATTCGGACACAGAGTGCAGAAGGCCAGGAAGTGGCCACGCCAGGGGGCCAGCAGGGGACCCTTGGAACCACAGGGGCCGGCATGGTCAGGAGTTGTTACCAAGTGGGGCGGCCACACTTCCCCCCACCCGGCCAAAGACCCCCAGTGCGTAGGCGGGCGGGAGCAGAGGGTGCGCCCAGGCAGCTCCTACCCTCCCTGCTGCGCCCCCCCCCCCAAGCCAGCACGTTCCCACCTGGCGACCCGCACGGTGGGTGCATCCTCCCGCAGCTCTGCCTACTTAGATGGGCGCAGAGGTTGGGAGACACCCCCCCAGGCCGCCAGCAATCCTGGGACCCCACACCGTTCACCCCGAGGGAGGGCGTGTCGGCCTCCTAGGAATCCTGCCCCAGCCCACCCACTTCTCTCTGGGCTGCCGGGATCCCGGGAGCCTCAACTCCCAACTCTGGCTCAGGGCAGCCGCGCCTCCTGGAATCCCCACCCAGGCTCTGGAAACTGCCCAGCCCTCCTCCTCCGGCCTCCTCCCAGGGCTGCAGGGACCCCCGAGACCCCACACCCCCACACCTCTGCTCCTGGGATCGCCGGGCCTCCTAGGACCCCAACTCCTGGCTGCGAGGACGGGAGCCTCCGGGGGGTACCCTCCCTGCCGGCGCAGTCACCGCGCCGCAGCCTGGATCTAGCGCGTTCGGCCGCGGGCGCCCTGTCCTTGGTCCCTGGGCCCGGGACCCACTCCGCGGCTGCGGGGCGCCTGGCGGGGGCGCGTAGGGGACACAGGGCGGCAGGCCAGGCAGCCGTGGCCGCTGGGACTTTGAGCCGCGGACGGAATTAATCGCTATTAGCGCTAATCGCAGGGCCCAGGGCGGGGCCGGGGGTGTCCCCGACCTGCCTCCGCCTGGAGGTGGGCATGGAGGTGAACAGGAATCAGCGCCACTGTTTCCAAACTCGGCCGACCCCGCCTTTGCCAACGGCGCCGAGGTACACGGAACAGCCGCCGCGTTTCCCGGCCTGTTCCAAATGGCCCAAGAGGCGTTATCGGCCAGGCGCGCGCCGAGCGCCACGGTTTCTTGTCCGCGGTCCGGCACTTCCCGGGACAAAGGCCGGCTTCGGTGGGACGCGCGGCAGCGGTGGCGGACGGGGGCTGGGCATCTCCCTTGCAGGGCGGGCGCTACAGACCGCCGGGTACCTTACCGCCCCGGGCTCCTTCCGTGCAGGGCCCGTCGTAAATTATATTGCAGCCCCTTAAAAATTCCTGCAGACGGTTTATTGTGTGGCGCCAAATTAGCATCGCGGCTGGGGCCGAGTTTTCACAGGAAGGAAGAAAGTTCGTTCAAGGAAAATGAAGCCCCAGAGTCTGGTATCCTTTAGCCCCCAACCGGCCTTTTAGGAGAGGGCCGGAGGGCGCTGGCACTGGGGAGGCACCAGACCACATCTTGCTCAGGTGACAGCGCTCAAGCGCCCGGGCTTTTTCTGGACATGTCCACTGCACTGTTTAGGTGGGTGTGGGTCCTGGGTCTGTGCAAGGTTGGGATCCTCTGTGACCATGGGGTGGCCGGTGGCCTCCACCAACAGCTGAGGTTGCTAGTGCCGAGAGCTGTCTGTTCTAGACCAGCCTGGAGGGCAGCCCCGTTTCCTCCCCTCAGCTTCTCTCTGCAACCACAGGGCTTTTCTGAGCTTGGGGAACAGCACAGAGCACAGGTCCTTGGAATCACAGCCATGCTTAGTGTCACCTGGCCGGTTCCTTGTCCCTTTGTCACTCTCCAGACCTGCAGGGGGCTCCTCAGAGTAAGCAGAGGTCTGGGACAAACAACCACCACCTTTTCTGCAAAAGCAGAGCAATCACTCAGGGAAGGAGGGTGCAGCACGGGTTCTGCCAAGAGACCAGCTTTGCGTGACCCGGAGTGCCAGTCAAGTCCCTGTCAAGTCCCCAGCAGTGTTCTGGAAGACACGTTTCACAGTGGCGCTAGGCTTTGAGGTGCTTTCTCCATAGAGTTCCTGACGTATATTTTTTAGTATCAGATCAGTTCACAAGCGGAGTCCCCACCTTTGGATTGAAGAGTTAAGTGCCCCAGTGTTCATTCCCACGTAATCTAAGAATTTTAACATTTAAATAAATGAAAAACTCTATCCAGATTATGTGGGTGTTTGAATGACTAGATTCAAAGTCAGGTTCAAAGTCAGCAGATCAAAGACAGGTGGCCGTCTCCTCCCTGGAATCATTGATTTTTTCCAATCTATTAATTAAAGTCCTGGACAACTGTATTTTTCCTTTTCCTTGACTAGGTATAAGACACTTTAAGAGGATGGAAATGTCCTTCCCTGTTCTTAGAAAACGAAAACCCGGGCTGTGGCTATAGCTCAGTGGCAGAGCACTTGCCTACCATGTGTGAGGCACTGTGAAGTTCGATCCTCAGCACCACATATAAATAAACAAATAAAATAAAGGCATTCTGTTCATCTACAACTACAAAAAAAAATCCAAAAGAAAAAGAAAACTCAATCTCTCAGCATCCCAAACTTGGGAATCTCCCTGACTTGCACCAGCAAAGGTTTTGTGAGGCACAGACAAGGCCTCTACCACCACAACCCACATTGGCAAGTGGAATTTGGATTCCTCTAAAATCATTGCTGAAAAGAAAATTCACCTAGCAACCCACAACCCTCCTGTCCTCCTAGAGACAGACTGGACCATCCCTGGGGGTTTTCCTGTGAGTCTAAGACCTCTGAAGAGACTTGGTGGGTCCCAGCACTGTCTCTTGGTGACTTTGGAAACCTCACTCTTTACTTTAACCGCTTGCTGGCCCCCAGCTGAGCTGTTACCTTCTGGGTCAGGGCTGTCAAGGCCAGCTGAGGGTTGAGCTTTTGGTTTTGAAAAACCAACTTTAAAAGATGCTCCAAGATCCAGCAGGAGCAGCGTTTGCAGCTGTCTGCGGCTGGAGCAGAGGTCTTCATTTCTCCTTCCCCAGATGCATGCTGTGACCTCAGGGGCCTTCCTCTGGTCTGTGTTGTTGCCTGCTTTCTCAGAGCTGGGCAGGAGCAAAGAGGACAGCAGTTCTGGGCTCAGCATCCTGGGCAGGCTCCAGAGACATGCAGACGATTCCTTCCTCTGGCCAAGAGGATAAAGCTCATCTGTGTCCCTGGGATTCGCCACGTTCCTCTCTTCCCATGCAATGCGGATGCAATTTTATCTGTGCCTAAATTATTAGTATTTTGTTGCTGTAGATTCTGCCATCTTCCCAGCAGCTCAAACAGAAAAAAAATCTACGTACTTATTCCTTGGGTACAGTTTGTAAAAATATAAATTATTAGTCCATAGTTAAATTAGCAAGATTCTTAAGTGGCTTCTTCTAATAAAATGCTGCATTTGGTTAAGAAGGAGCGGGAAGTGAATTCTGGCAAATGGTCATTGTGATGGCGCGGTTGAATTTAAACCTTGTTGCTCTCACGGTCAGTTTGTTCCAAAGAGAGCTTCATAACAGGTGGCAGATTTTCTGAATCAAAACAGTCTTGTGAGCTGGCTGAGAGTCCCCCAACTCCAACTCCACCCTCCCCATTTCTAAAGAGAAAACCGCATCCAATTGTTGGAGGCTAATTTTGGAACTGACCAGAATGAAAAATTTATGATTTTGAATTAAAAAAAACATGTGAGATAAAGTCAAAGAAGAAGTAGCCTCTCTATGCTTGTTGACACCACAAGTCTCCTTGCAGGTGAGAGAGCCAGGCCCGGGAGGGCTGAGGTGGGCGTGAGGGAAGGGCCTGTCCCTTCTCAGGAGCTCTCCCGGGCAGGAACTCTGGCAGCCACAGAGTACCAGGAGAGGAATCCCATCACCTGGATGGAAACGTGGAGCAGGGCCTCTGAGGGCTTCCTGCAGTCCCTGAGGCCAGGCTTCCAAGTTTACACGTCCTGACCACCAGCAGCAGGAGATTCAGGTGGAGAACAAAGCCTGGTCCTCGGTTCAGAAGGCTCCCCTGCATCTGGAGGCCACGTCTCCTCTGGGGACTTAGCTTCCAAACTTTCTGTTAAGATGTGACAGCCTCTTGTTGCTTGGCTCCTTGATCTTCTGGAAATTGGGGCTGAGATCATGTGTCTTGAACTTTGAAACTAGGCTCAGGCCTTGCTAACCTACGTGCCATGGGTTCCCTCCACCAGTGTCTGTGCTGGAGTGGAGGTGGGGTGTGTGTTGTCCGTGCACATGTGGATGTGTATGTGTGCTCATGTGTGTGTGTGTGCATGTGTGTAGTGGGGTGTGTGTTGTCCGTGCACATGTGGATGTGTATGTGTGCTCACGTGTGTGTGTGTGCATGCATGTGTGTGTGTAGGTGTGGGAGTCAGTGTGTGGTGTCTGTAATTGTCCAGAAATCCTGGTAGAAGGCCTTGGGACCATGGAGATCTGAGAAACTCCGCTAATATTGTGTGACGTTTCCTTCTTAAAGAGAAACCTGTCTTCAAAACCTTTTTTATTGTTAATATTTGAGGAGGGTTTTTATTTTAGCTCCACAGAGGGTCAAAGCAGGCTACTTTGAAGGAATGTGTGTCCCCGAGGGACCAGGAAACCAAGGTGCTTTCTGCCAAGGCCGCGTTGTCCTGGGAGAGAGCTGCTCTGCTTTTGACCACTACTGAACACGCAGTTTGAGATCTATTATTCCCTTCCAAGGTGTTTTCAAAAGTCATTTCATTCAACCAACCAATATGTATTGGGAGTCTGTGGGTTCCGGGGAGTGACTTTTCTTATTATTATAGTTTGGAAATTGCTATCCCCCAGCTGTTCGTCTGCCTTTGGTTGCTGGAATTCCAAGCTGAGGTTTCGGGATGGCTCTTGGACCCAATGTCCCCTGCAGCTCCCTGCAGGTCACCTGTACCTGCTTCCGTTGTGCTCCGGGGGCCACTGCCCTGTGGTCTGTCCAGTTCCGAGGCGCAGTCTGGGAGACACTGGAGGGGATCTCGGGTGCCCCATACGCCTGCAGTGTGAGGGGTCATTGCTCCTGTCTCCCTCGGCCTGGGCACACTGGAAATGCCCAGGAGGAAGAGCCACTTCTGTGGGCTATTAGGGGTGGTGTTTGTCAACCGCACACCCCGAGTGCCCCTAATGTGTGGCTGTGGATCCACCACAGCCCTGAAGCAGGGAGAGTCACTCCTGGGAGGCAGAGGGGCGTTGGAGGGGCTTCGCTGTCGAGAGGGGTAGGTGCCAGAGCCTGGTAAGCGCCCCACACCAGCACAGAGCTTCAGAGCCGGCAGTGTCCCGAGACGGAGGTGGGGCTAACAAAGGCCAACAGGAAAGGGCAGGTCTGTCATTCTGTCCTCGGGTCCTGACAGTGGAAGGACAGTGAGCTGCAGGGCCAGTTCCACACAGGCCCGTGTGGAGCTAGAATAAACGAGTCCCTGGATATTCCCCATAAAGACAGGGCTTTGAAGACGCCTCCCCTTTAGGGTTGGTTTCTACAGAGCTGGCCTCACAAGTTGCCCACCTTTCTGCTTCGGTTTATTTTGATGTTCTAGTAACATTCATTCCCTCGATATAAGAGCCTGCCTCCTTCACTACCTGGTCTGTCTCACAGATGCTGCCCTGGCCAGCCTGGGTGCACTGGCCGCTGCCCCTCAGCATCCTCCAGACAAGCCAGCACAGGGCGTCCCCGGACCTGCTCCAGGAGGGCTCAGCAGAGCTCTGGGTGCCTTGAACCTTCTCACTCACATTCCACTTTCATCTGGAGGCAGGAAAGGTCTCCCCTTTAAAGTTCTGTTTTAATGTCCACGGTCATTCTTTTGCTTTATTTCTGTATCATTATTATTTGCAGTTAGGAAAAGTTGTTTTCAAAGCTTTGGGTTCTAACCAAAGGCCACGGAAGTCCTAGTGGAGAGGTGGATCCACGCCCTTGTTTGGAACCAGCTGGTGTCCAGTGTCCGGTAAAATCACTGCTTGGTCCAGACCGAGCTTGAGTCAAAGGGAGATCAAGCCACGAGGAAGGACCTTCGGCAGCCCGGGGCTGCCCAGGTCTCCCGCGCTGTTTCTTAACACAGAATATTTCTCCAGAGTCAAGAGCCTTGAAGCGCCTTTAACAGCCTGCACGGTCTACACAAGAATGTGGCCTCTGTCTTTTAACAGAGGTCTCCATGAATGTCTTTTAAAGTCGTAGGACCTCATTTTGCAAATGAAATCTCCCTCAGAGCCCCAAGACAGGCAAAGCAGATGGCCCTGCAGGAAGGGGCTGGGAGTCCAGCACCTCAGAGGAGCCCAGTGGGAACACAGGACGGAGGCCGCTGCTGGGCCTGGCTGGATGTGGAGGTCTCCAGCCCACCTGCAAGCTCCAGGTGAAGCCAGGGGAAGTGGCGACCAGCATGGATGGGTGGCCTCCTGGAGTCTCAAGAAGCCACACGTCTCCACTCCCAGCTGGCACGTGGCCTCGGTGACCGCCCTGGGTACGGTCCACAAGCCTGCAGGACCCTTGGCCCCGGGGCTGGGAACAGAAGGGAAGGGCTTCTCACCCCTGTGGGCCAGGGAGAGGACCTCACAGCTCAGGAGGCATCCGGCTTGCTCCTGGCGGGAAGGGACCGTGTCAAAACAAGGCCAAGCCCTCGGCAGGCTGGGGCTCTGGGAGGGGGCTGGGTCTCAGTCTGGCTTGGCCTGGGAGGTGCCCCAGCAGCTTCCTGCTGGCCAGCGCTGACCCTTCTGGAGAGCTTGGTGAAACCCGGGTTCAGACAGGGCTCCTGCGGTTGGCCTCTCTTCCCACCTCTCTCGTGTCTCGTGGGCAGCAGCATCCGCAGGGAGCGTGGCTCTTGTGGTTGGGACCCTGCCTGCCCTGCTGCCCTTGTCAAGGCCACCACCTTTCAGCTGTCAGTGCTGCTGGCCTCAGGCAAGATGGCTGACTGAAGGCTCCAGGGGAGCGTCCCAGGGCAGCGAAGCACCCCAGAGAGCCAGCATTGGCCAAGTGTCAGGCAGCTGCCCCATAGCAGGACAGAAGCCCCCGGCATGGGCTCAGCTGTCCCTCACCGAGGCACCTCCATCCACCCTGGAGTGTGTCCCCTAGGATAACTCCGAGGGGCAGAGCCCCTGCGCACAGCCTGGACCTACCTGCTCGTTGATCTGACACATGGAGAGGTTCTGGTCATCACAGGAGCATGCCACACGGACGTACTTGAGCCAGCTGCCAGCCCCCACCTGGCTGGCATCCACGCAGAACTTCTCGCTGCCCAGGTCTTCAGAGATCTGCCAGGGAAGAAGCAAACCGAAGGTCAGAGGCACCCAGTGTGCTCGGGGCTGCACGCTGCCTTGTCCCCGCAGGCTCAGGGGGACAGCACGTGAGCACCGGCCTCAGCCAGCCACGTGGTTATCAGCCAGGCCCTGCTTGGCCCAGCTGCTGAGCCCGGCGACCTTGGGGGCGGGGGACCCTTTTCCTTTCTCACCGAGCAGGTCTCAGCACGGCAATCTCCCCAGCAAGGCTGACCCAGGTGTGAGTAAGCAGAGGCCACTGCGTCTAAGAACAGAGCCCTCTGCTAAAGACAGCCCGAGCGTCGGGCTAGGAAAAAGAAAAAACGCTTTTGAAGGTAAAGGTGTCATTGGGGGTGCAGCTGTGTCTGAGCCTGGGTGTGTGCTGTCACCGAGTGTGTGTGCCTGCGTCCCTGTGCTCATGCTCACACCAGCCTGCACATGGCCCTGGAAGTCAGAAAACCATCCGTTTCCTTGAAATCGGAACATTCCCGGTGCCGAGCGGTGGCGGCAAGTGCCCGGCTCTCACCACACTCCCAGGACACCTGCTCCGGCCTGGCTTTCTGGTGTTGCTGATGCTGTCTTTTGAATCCCACTCCTGACAGGCAAGTGGCACCTTCTCAGGCTTGATTTCTGATCTGTGTCACCGTCTTGCCTCTGAGAGCACCGTTCATGGGAGAAGGTCTGACCTGACCTGCTGGCCACTGGGGCAGCTGCACTTGAGTCCAGCCTCCCGGCCTCCCCTGCCCGTTCGGTGCCGGCCTCAGGTTCTGGGTCCAGAGCCTCTGAACCAGCAGCATCATGGACATACGAGGGCAGGAGTGGGGGAGAGAGGCTGGCGGGCAAGGGATAAGGCCACTATCATGTGGAGAGAGGCTGAGTCCAGGTGTGCAGGTATGTATGGGCCTAGGGTGCAGGTGTGCCCAGGTGTTCAGGTGTGTCTTGGTGGGCAGGTGTATCCAGGCATGTACAGACAGGCATGTCAGGTATGCAGGAGGTTTCAGGTGGGCAGTGTGCCCAGGTGGACAGGGGTGATGGGAACCGGGAATCCACAGGGTCCCAGGGAGTCAGGGTAGGAGGCACTGGCCATCACATGGGACGTGGATGCTGACTCCAGAATCCTGAACCCCCGAGCTACGTCCTCCAGGTACTCTGTTGTGAGGAGTAGGATGTGGGAAAGGGCCTGTCCACCTGCACTGCCCACTTCCACCCACAGTCAGATGCTTTGAATATAATTGAGGTGCCCCCATAAGTGCGGGGATCCTTCCTGATGGCCTGGGCCTGCCTGGCTTCAGAGTTGTTGGGGAAGTGCCACCCCCGGAGGTGGCAGGGACCAGTGTTGCTGGGGTGCATGGCCCTGCTGTCGGGCCCGTCTGTGCACGGCTTCCCATTCACCCCCAACCACAGCCCCTCCGGAGCCCATGGGGTGCCGCTGTGCTTTAAGCTGCAAGTCTCTGAGGGGAAATGCTCAGGCCCAGCCAACCTGGAATGGGGCTGGGGCCTTGGTTCTGAGATCTCTGAGGACTTGTGCCAGCCAGGATGGGGTAGGGAGAGCAGGAGGGCAGAGAAGGGATGGGTGCTCTGTCCCTGCCCTCCAGCCCCAGGAGGCCATGCCCCTGACCACTGGTGCTGAGTGTCCATCCCCAGTGTGCAGATCCCTGGCCTGGTACGCAACACTCCCCTGCCCAGCGGATGCTTGCTGGGTCTCTGAGCCCCTGTGGGCCATGGGAGTCTTTGGAACTCACTGAAGTTCTGTTTTCATAAAGGTCAACAGCAGCCAGAGGCAACGCGGAGACCCATGGTCCCAAACCCTGCGTCTGTGCCTCCTGCTCCTCTTCTCCAGGGACTCTGGCAGGAGCTGGACCCTGAGCACACAGCGGGTGGGGAGGCCAGCTCAGCACCAGGTTGGCACATCCTGTTGGAGAACAAGGGCACATGACCCTGTGCCCCCAACCACACTGCTCCCTGAGCCCAGTGACCAGGAGGGGCTCAGGATGCCTCCCAAGAGCAGGACCCTCAGCTCCAGGACAAGGGTGTGGCCTGCACCTTTTTCTGTAGGGGCCCCGTGGAAGGCTTGGGCCTTGTCCAGGGGGTTCTGTGACCACTGTCCGTTCAGGGCTCAGAGCAGGGGTACTGAGGACCTCACGTGAAACATGAGGTCACATGAAGAAGACCGCTAAGAAGACCGCTAAGAAGACCCTGGGCCACTAAGAAGACCCAGGCCATCAGCCTGGGTTAGTGGCCTTCCACCTGTTGGGCAGCCCGGCCTTCTGCTTGGCCCCTGGGGGGAGTGGTCAAGACAGAGGGACCCTCCCTGCCCCACTGTGGGGTGGAGCTCCTGTGGGCCTCCGCTGCACCTGGCTCTGTGAGGTCTGCTGGTCGGCTCCCTGGGGCTGGCCTGGCCTTGGCGTCCCAGGCCTGGGCCTCCTCCCCCAGAAGTCCCTGCAAGGGCAACCCCTGTTGCTAGCTGTGGCTGACCAAGATGCTTTCAGTGCCTGGAGCTTGTTGGCACCCAGCTGTGTGCATGCAGGAGCGTGCGTGTGTGCGTGCCAGTGTGTGCGTGCCAGTGTGTGCGTGTGCCAGTGTGTGCATCGGTGTATGTGTGTGCGTGTGCCATTGTGTGTGCGTGTGCCAGCATGTGCGTGCATGTGCCAGTGTGTGCGTGTGCCAGTGTGTGCGTGTGCCAGTGTGTGCATCGGTGTATGTGTGTGCGTGTGCCATTGTGTGTGCGTGTGCCAGCGTGTGCGTGCATGTGCCAGTGTGTGCATGCATGTGCCAGCATGTGCGTGTGCCAGCGTGTGTGTGCGTGTGGGGCCAGCAGCATGGTCTCAGGGGCCAGTAGGCTTCAGGAAGAGATCAGTCAGCCCCTGTGGGAAGGGACCGGAGGCAGATGGCTGGTCCACCTGGCCCTGTGACCACCCAGGTGTCTCCTGGAGTCCATGGTTGGACACAGCCCTCGAGCCCTTCTTGGCCTCCATGACCTGGACAGCAGGTCGGTGAAGCGCAGCACTGTGCTCCTGGACCCAGCACACAGCATGCTTAGGCATCCTGGTGGGTGGGCTGCCCACCTTCCCATGGTGTCCCCCACTGTACAGAGCAGGCCTCCTTCCTGGGACACCTGCAGGGATCTGGACACAGCCCCGTGTCCTTCTAGCTGTCTCCACGCCCCAGCCAACATCTGCAGCTCTTAGAGAGTGTGTGAACATGGACCTGGCCAGCTGCTCTGCATGGGACACTATCCAGAGCCTCTGGTGTGCCTCTGTCCTTCCTGGGTGCAGAGACCCACATCCCAGAGCCAATGAGTCCTCCAGGGCACTGACCCCAAGTGCCAGCTGCCCTTTCCCACCCTGCAGGTAGGCACCACTCTCGGGGCTGAGAGCCCATCCTTCTAGCCATTCCTGTCTCCCAGGCCTGTCCTCATGTCTGGAAGGCCTGCTGCCCAGATCTTGACTCTTGGCACTGTTACAGGGCACAGCTACTCTCTGGTGGCTCTTAAAGCTTCAAGATGTTTGTCCCCGGGTGGGCAACCTGGGCTAGTTACCTCCTTTTGTCCAGAGGCTGAGAGCCTCAGTGCCTGAGTGGAGCCGGGACTGCTGACCCTTCCCCCTGGGGATGCCCATGAAGCTCCCGTCCCAAGGCCCTGGACCAGCAGTGGATGAACTGGAGGCTGGGCGTGAGTGGTCGGTGGCTGGGCCTCACCTGAGATGCCAGTTCCCCTTCCAGCATGGAGTCCAGCCCCACAGCTGCACTGCCAGGCCCAGCTGGGCATACTGGCAGATGCAGGAGGGGCAGGAGTGGAGGCAGGGCCCTGGGCTTTTCTGTCCAGCTGGGGATGTGCCCACGGCAGCCCTAGCCTGGGGCTGCTGCAGAGACCTGGCTCCTGGCTGCCTTCCTGTTTGGAGCATCAACAGGCCTGGGCCATTTCGGCTTCCAGAGAGGGCACATTAGAGTGCAGTTGCCTAGTATTTCCCCACGTTAGGGGAGGGGACACGTGCCGCAGGGCTCAGCTCTGCACCCAGGCTGAGCCCTGGACCGCCTGCTCCCCTCCAACCTAGACTGCTCTGGAGGCCATTCGAGAACCACCAGAGAGACAGTTTCTGTGCCCCACTGAGGGAGTCATAGGATTCTCCGTGCTCTGGAATCCAGAGCAGGCCCAGTGGGTTCTGCTGCCTTGGGGGCAAGACTCACCAGTACCCACAGTGACAGAGCCCTGTCCCCAGTCCTCGGTGTGGTGAACCTCAGGGCCCCAGTAGCCTCTGATGGGGCCAACTGGACTCTGGTGCTATTGCAAGGAAGGACAGGGAAGAGGAGGCCTGGTGGGGGAGGTGAGGGGGCCGCGTGCCGCCCGCCCAGAGGGACCCTTCACCTGGCCAAGTGTGGTCTGCACCGAGGCTCTGACGCCATCGGTGCCTACCCGTCCTGGACAGGGAAGCCCACTGCCCTCCCGCTGGGGCAGGCACGTCCAGCCATGCCCAGAAGCCAGACCACTGCCTGGGCCTAAGCTCCGCATGAGGTCATTTATCTGTGACAGTTTCAGGGGCATTTAGGCCTCACAGGAGGTAGATGAAGACCAGAACTGGGAGGGAGAGAGGACGGAGGAGGTAGGTGCTTGGTTCTGCTCACACATGAGACGTGGGGTGGGAAGGAGGGAGGCAACCCAGCCATGGGGTCCCCCTGGTCAGCTTTAGTGACCACTGCTTGGCGGCAGATGTGGCAGCAGGACTGAGCCTCCCTCCTGATTTGGAATCTGGCCCCCTGTCCAGGCAGCCACCCAAAAGCCTATTCTTAGGCTGTTTGGGGCTGAGCCTCGGGAATCCCAGACCCTCCAAATGAAGCCGCCCTCTTGCCCGCTCACCCCCACCTGGCCTCCCAGGACCCCCAACCCGCTGCCGGCTCCCCCAGCTCATAAATCTCCCCCATCAGAAATGCTGAGTTATGAAGCGAAGGGATGGAAAGTTCTCTTAACCTTGACGATGTTTTTCGCACGTCATTTGAGGTTTCCTGTGCCTCTAGCTGTGGCCCTCCGCTGGGCTGGCTCTTTCACATTTAATGGGCATGGCCAACGGCTGGCCCTCTGGGGCGTGTGCAGCCAGGACCTGAGGCGTCTGCCGTCAGCTCGCCTGATGGATTCTGAGCATGCGGGGGGAGCAAGGCCCCGTGTCCACCCTCGGCCTGTGTCCTGAGTGCCGTGGCTACACCACCCTCTCAGGGGCCAGCAGCATCGCGTCTGCCTGATGGCCAGGATGAGTGGGAAGCAGGGGAAGCTCTGCTTCTCACCCTGACCCCTCCTTGAAGGACCCCAAGGTGATTCAAAGCAAGTGCTAGGCCTGGTGGCTCCTTTCCTGATGGTCGGTGCACACACACACACGGCACCCGCATGCTTGTGCAAACGGGCACAGGCGCACACACGGATTACGACTTATGGCGACCACAGCAGATGAAACAGAGAGTCCATTCTTGCGATGGAAGGAGGAGGGAAAGGCATTCTGGAAACACCTCTGTCCAGTGTGGACGCAGAGCCCGGACGAGCTCATCAATCCCCATCCTGACTCTCAAGGGCTTGGGGTGACATGATCAAGTGAAGGAGAAACTCGGCTGGCAGGGCAGGGCTGCAAAGCTCACGGGAGCCCTGGCGGCGGGGTCAGCAGGCCTGGGGCCCACTTGCTGGGGCTGAGAGGAGGGGGATGGCAGAGGGATGGGTGAGAAAGAGGGAGGGGAGGGGAAGGGAAAGAGAGAGGGCACTTTGCGGGGGCCCACTCCTAGAGGAAGCTGGCTGTGTCTCCTAGGCCCCAGATGACCTTGGTCTCCACTGAAGAGTTCCCAGGGCCGTGGTATGTGTAGGGGAGGGAAGGCCAGGGTCCCAGGCCTTGGATTCAGATGCTGCAAGGAGGGGCCTGCTGTCTGATGGTGAGGGTCTGCTGACCGCGAAGGCGTTGGCTTTGCATCTGAGTTAGTGTGGGAAGAGCCTCTTTACCCAAAGCCAGGCCAAGAAGTACACATGTCGGAAAAAGAGCCTCCAAATCCTGTACCCGATTTGATGGAAACCACCGACCAGACCCCAAAAAGCACATGAACACTTTGGGGTTCTCAGACACTCTCCTCCCAAATCCTCAGACTCTGGGGTGCTGTGTAAGCATCTCAGGGCTCATGGATCACTCCCACAAATTCTCAGACTCTGGGTGCCAGGGAGCTACCAGGGTGACACCCTGTGCGCCCCCCAATGCTGAGTTCCCGAGCCTGCGCCCTGGGGCCTCCTCCTCCTCCTCTGGCCATTAGGTCCCCTCCATCTTTTCTAGGTGAGCTACCTGCACCTCTCCCTCCCCCCTGGGCTGGGGCTACACCTGGCAGGGAGAGGCCCGCCATCTATGAACTTTGCTGAATAGCAGAAGGTGGGCAGCGGTCTGACTGTGTGCATCACCTGAGCCACGCCCGGATCTCAGGTAAACAGCAGAGGGGGCCAAGAAGGGGGGGCTGTGCGAATCTTGGGCCTCAAGGGCTGCCTCTCGCCACCTGCTGCAGCTGGATCTCAGGCCCTTCCTGTGGCCTGAACAGAAGCATGTTCCAGGGTGTCCCCACACTCTGCCCTGCCATCGTGCCCCTGTGGCCTCAGTGAGGCATCTTGGGGGCAGGGCTTCCTCCGTAGCACGTGGCTTGTCCGTGGTTCTTGACCCATTGGAAATAAAGGGGCAAACTGGAGTTTGACGTGGTGCTCCCTGTCCCAGTGAGACAGGAATACGATACAGACCCGTGTGAGTGCAGAGACCTCTTGGGGTGATGGACAATGGCCAGGAGAAACAGGGTCTGTTGAAACTGGGACCAGCAGGCAGATGCCTGCACTGGCAGCCAGCGGGGTGGACGAGAACCGCCAGAGGTGCTGAGTGCAAACCGGGGGGGACAAGGAGGCCTTGGAGGCTGTCCCCTCCTCCAGGGGCCAGCCCTGACAGCCATTCCCAACCAGTGTGGCCCCCCTGGGGTCCTGCCTCACTGCCCCTTGGACACTAGGAAGCCCCGCTTCTGCTTTCCGGCTGCTGGAGGTGCTGTCCGCGTGGTGAGCTCCGAGGAGCGCCTGCGTCGCCCGGAGAGCCTGCTGACGGCATCCAGGACGGAACCCTGTGTGTCCAGCCCTGCCTGGAGGGGGGGTCCCCTCTACCCTGGGTGCGGTGGGGAGCTCCCCCTGACACCCAGGTTAGAGGGTCGGTCCCCTAGTGAAACCCCGCTGTCACCGGAGAGACTCCTGGGTGGGGCCAGGGGCTCTTCACAGAACTGGGCCCATTGCTAGGTGCCTGCTGAGCCTGTGGCCAGTTGATGGGAGTCCAGGACCCTCCTACTGAGTGGTGGATAGCTGTCACAGCCTGTGCCCCAAAGGCAAGTGTGCCCAGGAGGTCTGGGCCTTCGGCCACCTTGTTAGAAACAAGTCACGGAGTCCACGTTCTGCCATGGAGGCTGCTCGAGCCTGGGTTTCTGCAGTGGGTTCTAGGTCTTGGACACATCCCCCAAGGCATGCTGTATGACAGTCAGATGAGCTGACTGGGGCCATCGCTGGCTGTGCCAGTCTCTCTTTGAGATGTGTAACAGGTAGAGAAGGGTCTTGTCATGATGATGGGCAGGTCTACTTTCCAGGGGAGGAGGTCGAGGCAGCGGTAATATTGAGAAGCCCCCCAGGCCCTGGCAATACTCAGAGCTCCCGAGCCATGCCCAGCACTGACCATTCTACCACACTTCCTCAGGCCACCTCTGGCCAGGAGGAGGAGTGGCTCCCCTACCAGTGTTGTGCAGTGAGAGCCCCGACCACCGTCCTTTCCCTGGGGTCACTTCATGATCTTGTATACGCAAAATACCCAGTCTACTTTTGTCAGAATGCTTCTCTGAACTGTTTTATTCTGGTGAATCTGAGCACGGTACCCAGGATGCCCACAGGACCAACTTACACGTCTCCTGTGAAAACGCTTCTTGCCGCTCACATTAGCCTTACACACGTGAGAAAGCCCAGCAGGTCACAAGTGGGTCCCACTACACCCAGAATTCAAAGCAAAAACTATTTGGGTGACTTGTTGAGGCCAGCAAAGAGCTCCAGCCTCTATCAGCTCTGACCACTGTCTGCAGACAGCCTCCGACAGGGCATCTTGGGACTGGCCCACGTCCACAGGGGTGGCCAGGGACGTGGCAGGAGGCAGGTGCCAGGGGCTTGTTCCTCACTCACCCTGTGGCCTTTCCACTGGACTGCTCACTTGCCTACCACCCCCGGAGGACATCCTGAGTCCCTACTGCGGTCAGCCTGGGGGGAGGGCCACCTGGGTGAGTCGAGTCCTGGTCACTCAGGGCCCCTTGAGCTTCTTTTTTGCTCTCTGGGGGCATTTTGTGTGGGCATAGATGGGATTTTCGCTGCTGTGTGGACAACGGGGTCAGAATAAGGGCTTGGGGGCCCATGAAAGAGCCTGCACAGAACACACCACTCCTGACTGCTGTGGAGGCTGCTGGAGCCGCAGGGTCTGCTTGCTCAGGGGGGTCCTGCAGGGTCCAGGGCTGGCTCTGTCCACCCTGTCTCACCCCCTGTAGGCACTGCTTTGGGAGAGCCCAAGGCAAGTCCTCTGCCTGCTGCAACAAAAGCCCTCTCCAGAAGCCTCTTGAATGTGGCTGAGCTCGGCCCACCCGCTGCTGCACACCGCTGGTCCTGCTGCCCTTGGCAGACTCCACCCAGAGTTTAATGCCCCAAGCCACCCCCACAGCAGTGTCCAGGCAATCTGCTCTGGCAACGGCTACCCCTGGAGCATCCTCCAGGTCCCCAGATGGTTTGCAAAGTATTTCCCCAGTGTGCAGTGTCCATAGTATGGCCTGTCCTGTCCCCTGTCCCCCACCACCAGCAGGTCTTGGGTGAGGCCCAGAGCCCTGGCCCAGGCCCGGGGGAGGGAGGGACACAGGGCCGTTTCTGCTTCTCCTGAGGGTGCAGACACCAAGGGCCCATCAGTAGTTCACACTGGAGCCTGCGTGCAGTCAGGCGGGGAGCGGGCGGCCCTGTGCCTGGAGCTGGCACCCAGCACTCAGCCCTGACATTATGAAGTGAGATGCTTTTGCTTTGGTTTGGTTTTTGATCATAAAGAAGATTAATAAGAAAAGGTCCCACAACCCCAAACCAAATGCTTGTGGCTGCGCCCCTGCTCAGGGTACGCGGGGCCAGGGCTGCCACAGGAAGCCACCCCCCCGCGGGCGGCGGGCGAGGTCCTGGGAGTGTCACACTCATAACCTTTTTCTGCTTCTTAGATGGTGACAAACTGCAGAGCTTGCAGACCTGGCCACCCCCACAGCGGATGCTGGAGGAGTCCCCTGCAACCAGCTAAGCCAATGTCACCGGCAGAGGCTTCTAAATATAGCAGCATGTGGGGTCCTGGGCACCGTGGCAGCAGGGCCTCAGCTTTGCTGGACAAAAACTGAGTGGAAGCTGAGTAGCAGGATGAGGAGCCCACCAGGTGCCCAGTGGGACTTGCCAGGTGCCCAGTGGGACTTGGCATACAACCACAGGGAGGCTCCCAACCCTCATACCCTCTCGTGTGTCCCTGATACAGGCTTCACATGGGAAGGGGCTTCCAAACGGACCTTCAGGAGAACCAGATCTCAGCTGGACGCGGCTCCAAGTTCCCACCCGTTATTTCCTAGAGAGGGCAGCCATGTACAGAACCCAGGCCCACCGTGCCTGTCCTGGGGGCTCTCCCAGCTCACTGTTGGGCAGGAGGAGGGCGCCATTCCTCTGCACCCCCCAGAGGTTGCAGATGCTGTGGCCCACACTGCTCCAGCTGAGCATGGTCATTGAGACCTGTCACCGAGTGACAGAATGCTCACATCCACCCCAGGGCAGCCACTGTTTCTTCCACATTTGCAGATGAGGAAACTGAGGCAGAAAGGACTTTAGTGATTGGCCAGAGGTCACACAGCAAAAAGGGATGGACAGACTGGGCAGCAGGTATGGCTGCCCTCCTGGCTGCTTTCATACTGTCAGGACCAGCATCACACATACCAATTGTCCTCCCCTGGTAATCTCTCCTCTGCTTGAGGATGGGCCGAGGGTAGCCAGAATTTTCCCAGAGCCTTGCCTGAAACGAGTGTCCATTGAGACTCACTAAAGGTCTCCATGAGAAGATAGATGGGTGGATGGATGGATAGATGGTGGATGGATGAGTGGATTGGATGAGTGTTGAGTAGATGATGGATAGATGAATGCACAAATGAGTGAATATATTTGGATGGATGATGGCTGGCTGGCTGGATGGTAGATGGATGGATGGTGGATGAAAGATGGGTGAATAGATCGATGTTGGATAGATGATGGATAGATAAATGGATGAGTGAGTGAATGGATGTTGGATGGGTGGGTGGTGAACAGATTGATAGTAGATAGAGGAATGGATGGATGGCAGGCAGATGGGTAAATGGATGGATGTTGAATGGGTGATATATGGATGAGTGGATGTTGAATGGATGGATGGATGGATGGGTAGATGATGGATGGTCGATGGAGAATGGATGGGTGGATGGATGGATGGATTAATGATGAATAGATGAGTGGGTGAATGCATTTTGGATGGATTGTGGGTGAATAATGAGTGGTGGATGGATGGATACTAGATGAATGATGGATGGATGGGTGGATAAATGGATGGATGGATGGATGGATGGTGGATGGATGGATGGTAGATGGATGGGTGAACGGATGGATGTTGAATGGACAGATGACAGAAGTGTGGATAAGTGGCTGGCTGGCTGGAGGAGAGGCAGTGTCCCCCATAACCTTTCTAGCTCCCACAGTGAGATCTAAGTTGATACCCCACCAATAGGATCCTCATCACATGGCATACTCTGGCCATGATGATGGACTGCCTCACTTCCCCCTCACAGATGGCAAGGACCTCAAGTGTTCATTTGGTTGTTTCTCAGAGCCAGGAAGACAGTGTGAACATGTGGGAAACAAATGAATGGATCACGGCACTTGAAGACAACCAAGAACAGCCCTGACTACTCCCCATGTCTCCTGTGTCCACTGGTCTTTCTCTCTTTCTGGTCCGGGCCTTTTTCCTTCTAATCCCTCCCTGTGTTCTGCCAAAGGAGCTGCAGACCCTCACTGTGGGAATCCCAGCCGCAGTTCTTCCTGGGCTGGTGTTACAGAGTCACTGTCCTGAGGACAGTGTCATGGCTGTGATGTTTCCTGGGGTGGCCTGTTTCTCCAGAGCAGAAGCTGTGGCTGGCTGGTGGGTCCTGGCACACAGTGGGTGCCTAGCAAAGGCCTGGTGGGTGGCCAGGTTATTTTTGGTGCCTTCCCTGCCACTCACTCCATCCCCGAGAGCCCATCCCTCTTCCTTCTCCTCAGTGCAGGGTAGCCTGGTGACTCACCGCCTTCCATATCAGCCTGATGCTTTGAGGTCAGCTCTTGCAAATAGCTCAAATCTCAACAGACCAAATCCAAGCAAATACCTTGCCAATCCCCACAAGAAACGGCTCTCGCTGCTCTTCAAAGTACAAAAATGGTCATTGGCAAGGGAGTCTTGGTGCAGACAGGGTTGGCATTGGAGGCACTGCACATGGCCAACTCCAGCTTCTCCCAGGTATGTGGCCCTGGGCTTGCTTTGGCTCTGTAGAGACAGAACGTGCTCTTCCTCCAAGTGGTCTGTGGTGATGACCCTGCTTTCCAGAATGTCTGATGTCTTCAGGGGTCCTAGAGCCCAACTTTAGAGTGAGGATGAGCCCCAGGGTCCACTGACTGGAACCCAGTGCCCCCCCCCCCCCCCGCCGCCCCTTGCTCCTTCCCAGCTGCAGGACGTGCAGCAGCCAAGACAAGAGGGAAGTCAGATCAGCTTCTCGGGTAGCGTTGTCCCAGCCAGCGGCCACCTGGGTCCTGGTGATGGTTTTGCCTGCTAGGTCTACCCTTGGATGTGGGCTCAGCCAGTGATGTCTCTCTTGGGGCTGAAAGCCAACTTCCTTCCCAAACTGGGCAGGACAGGTCAAATCAGCAAGTTTGAAATGATTCATAGACAAAGGTGTGGCCACATCAATCTTGTGCCGTGGGTGGAACCAACCAGCAGCTGTCCCTCTTTCCCGTGTCCCAGCTAGTCATTGTTGACAACATACATCAAAGGGACCAAATGCGTCCCCCACAGAGGCATTGCCTAGATCCCCTTCACCAGCTTCACTCCAACATCCACTCAAGCCCAGGGAATAGAATCAAAGTGGTCTACTAAACATCTGATCACAAGCATATTCACATGATGCCGGTGACCCCGAACTGCTTCCACCAACCCAGTGGAGGGGCTGCAGGGCAGAGGGGCACAGTGTAGCCCATTACCCAGAAATCAAACTGGGGGCCAAGGAGCGTTTGAATCAGCACCTTTCTCTGGGGATTCTGCTACTCCACTTTTTCCTTTGATCAGACAAACATGGGAGCAGACCTGGTCCTCCCTCGGGAGCAGGAGGGGGGAACATGCTCTGGGGAGGGGGGGGGGCTGCTTCTCCACCGTCTTGGGATGTGCAGAAAAGCCCATGGGTAGGGCATCTCCTGCGGAATCAGAGCAGATGTGGCTTGCAGGTATGCCATCGCTGGCTATCCTGAGTTGGGGCACTTGCCCTGGTGACTGCCTTGAACTCTCCCCAGAAGAGGGGCTCGGTGCGAAGATGGCTCCTTCCCCATCGGGGAGCAGGTGCAGCAGGGGAGATGAGTTTAAGGAGAGGCAAGGCTAATGGTCTCTGCTCAATCTGGGGATCTCTGGGTCTAGTGGCAGTCCCACCCAGAGCCCCACCATTGTGCCTTGGTCCCCAAACTTCCCTCCAGAGAGAGGTGTCAGAGCAGAACCTGGAGTGGCTCCTGAGCCGGGATTTCTATCCTGGAGTCCACTGCTAGCGCTGTCCAGGTAGGGACCTGAGCAGGCAGCCCTCGGCAGCTGTGGAAGGACAAGAGGTCCCTGTGGTCCCTGGTGGGTCTGGAATGTCACAAAGCAGGTGGGGGGGGTGGATGGTCTGTTTTCTAGAAGGTTCTTGGACTCTTTGGGGAGATTCGGCTCTGGCTTGTCAGAGGCACAGTGTCCTGACCCCCGCTCCTCTTCTGGACCTCCTCTTTCTTTCCACATGCAGCACTTTACTTTAAAGTCACTGTTGCCGTTCTCCCTGTCTGAACACTGGCATTTCTAAGTGATTTCTTTTCTCCCTCCCTCCCTCTCTTCCGTCCTTCCTTAACACTGGGGATTGAACCCAGGGGCACTTTACCATTGAGCCACATCCCCAGCCCTTTTCATTTTTAGTTTTAGGACAAGGTCTCACTAATTACCCAGCCTGACCTCAAACTTGGGCTCCCCCTGCCTTGACCTCCTGAGTCTCTGGGATCATAGGCACGTGCCACCACACCCAGCTTTAGATGATCTTTTAAATAAAAATAATCACTTTGAATCGTGCTCATGTGCCTTGATTTGAAGACGAGCTTGTTTTTTTCAATTTCATATCCAAATTAACGTTTACAGAATTTAATGAAAACTATAACAGAATCATAACCTTTTTAATAAGTACTCTCTCTGTTCCAGTAATTTGTTTAAGTCTTATCAGTTCAAAAAAATAAATTCATATGTAATTACTTTAAAATATACTTCCTCCATTTTTTGGCTTTCCTTAGCCTTGGATTCTGTGTCCGTGGATTCGACGAAGCTGGGATTGAAAACATTCCAGAAACCCTTACGGCATCTGCGCCGCACGTGAGCAGACTTTGTTCCTCGCCATCATTCCCTGAACGACACGGTGTAGCAGCCGCTGTCCCACATGGAGGGGGTCTGGGGTGTTACGGGTCCTCTAGGGATGGTTTGCCATCCGTGGGGGGACGACGCAGGGGTTCTGAGCAAATACCAGGCCATTTCATGTAAGGGACCTGGACACTGCAGATTTGGGTCCCTGGGGAGCATCCCGGAACCAATCCCCCACGTGTTCTAAGAGACGACCGTGTTCTAGAGCAGAGGCAGAGATTCTGGCAAGAAATCCAGGAGCCACATGCTGGGTGTGTATCTTTGGCCCTGGCTCTTCTGGGGAGGTGAGAGGACTTGCCACCCATCATATCCCAGGGTCTCCCCAGAAGCCTGAGACTGTTGGTGCCTCAGGCTTGGGTTCAGTGGAAAGGCAGTCTCTAGGGGTGCCCAGCCCCCAGCCACAGCAAACAGCCTGCAGTCAGCTCCCCTCTGTGCTAGGGAGACCCCTCCCAGCCATGACCACGCACCACACTTGTGGCTTCCTGTCCCCGCATGGAGAGGGGACCCTCCCTGGCACTGAGACGACGTGCCGCGGCAGCCTCTTCGCTGATCAGGGTGCAAACGCTAGAAGATGCTCACACCCTCGCAAACGGGTCATCGACATCTCGAAAACAAAGCCGAGCAAAACGTAACACATGTGCAGCCCCCCCGCCGCCCGCAAATGCCACAAGGTCCCCTTTGTGCGCCAGCAGAGCTGGGCAGGCTGGCCGCGGTGTTCGCGGACACGATTACAGTCTGGTATTACGCAATAGGATGTTAACCACACATTCTAATAAAAAAATAAAATAAATGATAATAAACATTGGGCTGAGAGTCCAGATCTTTCACGAGACGCCCTGATCATTTTTCTACTCCGACCTCAGTTTTCTCTGGAGCTGCTCCAAGAGCCCAGGGTGGGACGGCAGCCTTCTTCTTGGGGGGAACAAAAGGTCTTTTTTCAGTCTTTGGGGCTGTCAAGTTTATCCAAATATTCTCGGCTTACTACTAGCCCCTTTCTGAATTGATATTTCCAATAAAAGGACACTTTGTATCTGGAAGCCACTCCAGGCCCCCCCTCAGCCAGGACGCCTGGTGCAGGGCCCTGGTCGGCCACTTCCTCGGCCAGGAGGGAGAGGGCGTCCCCAGCAGGAGGAGGCCCCGGGGCAGCGGTCAGGGCCGCGCTGGTGGGAAGGAGGAAACGGAACCCACAGAGAATGCCCACCTCCCGTCAGGGCCTCAGCCACAGCCCAGTTTTAATTCTGGCCAAGCCCGTCCAGTCTGCGAGCAGCCGCCAAGCGCATTAAGTCATGGTCGTGTTTGGCGGCAGGAGAGAATTCATTCCAGCCGGGCCAAGCTGTGCAAAGCCTGTGTTCTCGGGCTGTCGGCAGGCCGGGGCGGCCACCGCCTCGTGAGGGCCCCTCAGACAGGACGGGTGACTTTCATCCTCACCTCCTCCCCATCTTCCCAGACCCTCTCCCGCTGGCCAGCCCCACAGCCTGGTCCTGTGCCTGTGCGCACGAGGGCAGGAGCGTGTGCCCCCCTCCACACACATGCCACACACACCCTTCGAAGTGGGCTCCGCAGCCTCACAAAGGGCATTTCCTTCCACCCCCACCTCCTCCAAACGGCTCTGATTAGTGCTAATGATAATTCTCATTAATCACCTTCTGCTGCTGCGGAATGGAAATGAGGCTGCGGTCAAGTGACAGGAGCCACTTAGGCAGTATTTATGACCTGTGGGTACAGCAGCAGCACTGGGGCCTGACACCTCTGGCCTGTGGCTGACATCAGGGCTGACATCTGGGGCCACCAGCTGCCCAGAGTGCCCCAGTGTCTGACTTGGAGGATGCCAGGAGATCATGGGACCCCTGTTACCCACAGCTTAGAAAAGTGGCCAGTCTTTCGGGTCCAGTGCAGGAGGCGAGTGGCTCGGCAGTTCAGGCTGCTGCCTCAGTCATGAGAGGGAGGAACAGCCAGGAAGCCCCCCTCCTCTGTGCCTCTCCTTCCTTCCCAAACAGAGCCACACACCCCCTTTCCTCTCCCTGATCCCCAGGGGACGGATGGCCCCCAACCCAGGGTAGAGACAGCATCTAACCACTTGTGACTCTCAGTGCCATAGCTTGAGGGTGAGCTGTCTGCGCATGGGACCCCCAGGCCAGTGCCCACCTGAGCAGCCACCCACGGTCCTCTGGTCTCTGCAGAGCTCTGGGAGACCTGTGGCCAGCTCTCCTTTTCTTGATGCCCGTGAACCCAGGTTTTTGCCCTGGAT